ATGTGCTGGGGTTACAGGTGTGAGCCACCAGGCCCGGCCTACTGCAGATTCTTCTCTTGCCCCCAGCGGTAACCACCATCTCCAACTCTGTGCAAACCATACTCCTGGTTTTCTTTTTTGTTTTTGTCTTTTGAGATAGAATCTCACTCTTGTCACCCAGGCCAGAGTGCAGTGGCGCCATCTCAGCCCATTGCAACTTCAACCTCCCAGGTTCAAGCAATTCTCCTGCCTCAGCCTACTGAGTATCTGGGATTACAGGTGTCCACGACCATACCCGGCTAATTTTTTGAATTTTTGGTAGAGACAGGGTCTCACCATGCTGGCCAGGCTGCTCTCAAGCTCCTGACCTTGTGATCTGCCCGCCTCAGCCTCCCAAAGTGCTGGGGTTACAGGCGTGAGCCACCGGGCCCGGCCCTCCTGGTTTCTTGATGCATGTCCACATGTGCTGTACCTTTAAACAATACATCGGCGGACCAGGCACAGTGGTTCACACCTGTCATCCCAGCACTTTGGGAGACCGAGGTGGGCGGATCCCTTGAGCCCAGGAGTTCAAGACCAGCCTGGGCAACATGATGAAACCCTGTCTCTACTAAAAATACAAAAAATTAAGCTGGCATGGCTGTGTGTACCTGTAGTTCCAGCTACTCAGGAGGCTGAGTGGGAGGATCACCTGAGCCCAGGAGATAGATACACACAAAACAGTATGTAAGTCCCATTCTCTCCACCCCCAGAGCTGAGACTCTGCTTTCTGACTGCCCTGGAGAAGGGGGGCGAGATGAGCCTCGTCCCTCACTCCTAGTTGCACCTCAGGTGCCCGACATGGGGACCTCTGAGCTAGCAGTGGACGGTGGGAATCCTGGAGCTGCTGGAACGATGCCCCGCAGGCTGGTGGCCTCCTCCCAGGCCTGGAGGCTCTGGGGAAGAACCTTCCTGCCTCTCCCAGCTCCAGGTGGCTGCCTGGATTCCCGCACTGGCTGAGTCAGGGCTGAGTGCTCCAGTCCCACTGCCTCCGCGGCCTTTCCCCTGGGTCTCCCCTCTTCCCATCTCTTCCAAGAGCATGGGTCATCGGCTTTAGAGCCCAGCCCAAATCCAGGAAGATCTCATCTCGGGAGCCTTAATTACATCTGCAATGATTCTTTGTCTAAAGAACCCCCGTTCTCAGGTTCTAGGTGGACCTTTTTTTTTTTTTTGAGACAGGGTCTGGCCCAGGCTGGAGTGCAGCAGCACGATCTCAGGTCACTGCAGCCTCAGCCTCAACCTCATGGGCTCAAGCCATCCTTCCTCCTCAGCCCCCCAGGACATATCTTTTGAGAACCACCATTGAACCCACTGTGGTGGGCAGGGCCGCTCTGGGTCTCCTGGCTAGGATACACTGGCACTACAGCCACTGGGATTGCAAAGTGTGAAGTAAAATGTGAACTGAAGGAGGCGCAAGGGTGGCATGCAGAGAAGTTCAGGGAAATGCCCCAACCCACACTCCTTCCCCCACGTGACACGTGTCACAGCAGGTGCCCACGGTGTGCACGGAGGAGACCCCAGCGCCCTCCAGGGAGGAGCGTGCTGAGCTCTGGGACCGCTCTTAGGTCTCACTCTGTGATTTGGACCTGGGCCCTTGAGCCCTAGTCACAGCCTGGGTGGCCCCGCTGGCTCCGCCCGAGGCTCCTGGTCACTGTCAGGGAGGAGTCCCTCTTGTATGGGAATCAAGGTATTCAATGCCCATAACACAGGAACCGCCTGGCCCGCTACGGAATGCAGAGCAGGGAGTGGGCCAGTGCCCTGGGCTTAGAGCCCGGCCCCTCCTCCTCATGGCTGAGAGGTCTGCATCAGCTCAGGCAGGGCAGGCGGCTGCCAGGGGGCAGGGCCAGGACCTCCTAGGAGATCAGGTGTGCTGCAGGGGAAAGGGAGGGGACAGCAGAGGGAGGAGGGGACAGGAGAGGGAGGAGGGGACAGGAGAGTGAGGCGGGGGGGTGGAGAGGACCCAGGAGGGGCAGGAGAGTGAGGAGTGGGTGGAGAGGACCCAGGAGGGGACTGGAGAGTGAGGAGGGGGGGTGGAGAGGACCCAGGAGGGGGCAGGAGAGTGAGGAGGGGTGGAGAGGACCCAGGAGGGGACAGGAGAGTGAGGAGTGGGTGGAGAGGACCCAGGAGGGGACTGGAGAGTGAGGAGGGGGGGTGGAGAGGACCCAGGAGGGGGCAGGAGAGTGAGGAGGGGTGGAGAGGACCCAGGAGGGGACAGGAGAGTGAGGAGTGGGTGGAGAGGACCCAGGAGGGGACTGGAGAGTGAGGAGGGGGGGTGGAGAGGACCCAGGAGGGGACTGGAGAGTGAGGAGGGGGGGTGGAGAGGACCCAGGAGGGGACTGGAGAGTGAGGAGGGGGGGTGGAGAGGACCCAGGAGGGGGCAGGAGAGTGAGGAGGGGTGGAGAGGACTCCCTGGCGGGAGACACGGTCATCCGCCGCATGAGCCAAGCCCAGGGACAAAGCTCGGTGACCAGGAGGCCCGCAGCAGCCTGACCCTAAGAGTGGAGAACTGTGTCCTGTGGGCCTGGAGCCCTGCAGGGGCTGCGCTGTGTGACCATCACCTGTCCTTTAGGAGGGTCCTAAGGGGCTGTGTCCTCTATGGGCTGTGTGTTCTGGGGGGTGGCCTGTGTCCTGGGTGTCTCTGTGTCCTGGGGGTGTCTCTGTGTCCTGGGGGGGTCTCTGTGTCCTGGGGGGGGTCTCTGTGTCCTGGGGGTCTCTGTGTCCTGGGGGGGGTCTCTGTGTCCTGGGGGTCTCTGTGTCCTGGGGGGGTCTCTGTGTCCTGGGGGGTTCTCTGTGTCCTGCGTGTCTCTGTGTCTTGGGGGGGGTCTCTGTGTCCTGGGGGTCTCTGTGTCCTGGGGGGGTCTCTGTGTCCTGGGGGGTTCTCTGTGTCCTGCGTGTCTCTGTGTCTTGGGGGGGGTCTCTGTGTCCTGGGGGGTCTCTGTGTCCTGGGGGGGGTCTCTGTGTCCTGCGTTTCTCTGTGTCCTGGGGAGTCTCTGTGTCCTGGGGGGGGTCTCTGTGTCCTGCGTGTCTCTCTGTCCTGGGGGGGTCTCTGTGTCCTGGGGAGTCTCTGTGTCCTGGGGGGAGTCTCTGTGTCCTGGGGGGGTCTCTGTGTCCTGGGGAGTCTCTGTGTCCTGGGGGGGGGTCTCTGTGTCCTGGGGGGGTCTCTGTGTCCTGGGGGAGGTCTCTGTGTCCTGGGGGGGTCTCTGTGTCCTGGGGGGGTCTCTGTGTCCTGGGGGGGCTCTCTGTGTCCTGGGGGGTCTCTGTGTCCTGGGGGGTCTCTGTGTCCTGGGGGAGGTCTCTGTGTCCTGGGGGGGGTCTCTGTGTCCTGGGGGGGTCTCTGTGTCCTGCGGGTCTCTGTGTCCTGGGGGGGTCTCTGTGTCCTGCGTGTCTCTGTGTCCTGGGGGGTGTCTCTGTGTCCTGCGTGTCTCTGTGTCCTGGGGGGTTCTCTGTGTCCTGCGTGTCTCTGTGTCTTGGGGGGGGTCTCTGTGTCCTGGGGGGGTCTCTGTGTCCTGGGGGGGTCTCTGTGTCCTGCGTGTCTCTGTGTCCTGGGGGGTCTCTGTGTCCTGCGTGTCTCTGTGTCCTGGGGGTCTCTGTGTCCTGGGGGGTCTCTGTGTCCTGCGTGTCTGTGTGTCCTGGGGGGGGTCTCTGTGTCCTGCCTGTCTCTGTGTCCTGGGGGGGTCTCTGTGTCCTGCGTGTCTGTGTGTCCTGGGGGGGTCTCTGTGTCCTGGGGGGGTCTCTGTGTCCTGGGGGGGTCTCTGTGTCCTGGGGGGGTCTCTGTGTCCTGCGTGTCTCTGTGTCCTGGGGGGGTCTGTGTCCTGCGTGTCTCTGTGTCCTGGGGGTCTCTGTGTCCTGGGGGGGTCTCTGTGTCCTGGGGGGGTCTCTGTGTCCTGGGGGGGTCTCTGTGTCCTGCGTGTCTCTGTGTCCTGGGGGGTCTCTGTGTCCTGCGTGTCTCTGTGTCCTGGGGGGGTCTGTGTCCTGCGTGTCTCTGTGTCCTGGGGGTCTCTGTGTCCTGGGGGGGTCTCTGTGTCCTGGGGGGGTCTCTGTGTCCTGGGGGTGTCTCTGTGTCCTGCGTGTCTCTGTGTCCTGGGGGGTCTCTGTGTCCTGGGGGTCTCTGTGTCCTGGGGGTGTCTCTGTGTCCTGCGTGTCTCTGTGTCCTGGGGGGTCTCTGTGTCCTGGGGGTCTCTGTGTCCTGGGGGGGGTCTCTGTGTCCTGGGGGGTCTCTGTGTCCTGGGGGGGGTCTCTGTGTCCTGGGGGGGTCTCTGTGTCCTGGGGGTCTCTGTGTCCTGGGGGTCTCTGTGTCCTGGGGGGGGTCTCTGTGTCCTGGGGGGTCTCTGTGTCCTGGGGGGGTCTCTGTGTCCTGGGGGGGTCTCTGTGTCCTGGGGGTGTCTCTGTGTCCTGCGTGTCTCTGTGTCCTGGGGGGTCTCTGTGTCCTGGGGGTCTCTGTGTCCTGGGAGTGTCTCTGTGTCCTGCGTGTCTCTGTGTCCTGGGGGGTCTCTGTGTCCTGGGGGTCTCTGTGTCCTGGGGGGGTCTCTGTGTCCTGCGTGTCTCTGTGTCCTGGGGGGTCTCTGTGTCCTGGGGGGTCTCTGTGTCCTGGGGGTCTCTGTGTCCTGGGAGTGTCTCTGTGTCCTGCGTGTCTCTGTGTCCTGGGGGGTCTCTGTGTCCTGGGGGTCTCTGTGTCCTGGGGGGTCTCTGTGTCCTGGGGGGGTCTCTGTGTCCTGGGGGTCTCTGTGTCCTGTGGGGGGTCTCTGTGTCCTGGGGGGTCTCTGTGTCCTGGGGGGTCTCTGTGTCCTGGGGGTGGTCTCGCGGCGGCCCCGCGCCCGACAAGGCCAGGCCCTGCCTCCAACGCGCTCGGCGCTCCCGCCGGGCCCCGCCCCGCCGCGCCCCGCCCCGCCCCGCCGCGCCCCTCCACGTCTCGGTTGAACGCGCTCGGCGCTCCACGGGCGGTCTGGCGGGGCGCCCACGCACGCACGCACGCACGCCCAACACGCACGCACGTCCAACACGCACCACGCACGTCCAACACGCACCACGCACGTCCAACACGCACCACGCACGTCCAACACGCACGCACGCCCGGCACTTCCGGCCGCGGCGGCCCGAGCGCCGGCCGGAGGGGACCAGACCACCGGCCCCCGCGAGCGGGATGAGGCGCTGAGCCGCGGACCCAGCACGGCGGCGCCATGAACCTCCTGCCGTGTAACCCGCACGGCAACGGGCTGCTCTACGCCGGCTTCAACCAGGACCACGGTGAGGAGGCGCGGCGCGGCCCCGGGGTCCCGACGCTCCCGCCGGGCCTTCCCGCCCGGGCCCCCCTCCGAAGCCCTCCCGGCCCGAGCCGGGGTCCGGACCAGGCCCGAACCGGCGCGCACCCGCCCGGCGTTCGCCCCCGGGGTCGCCCTCCCCGCCGCGCCACGCCCACCCGGCCCCGGGACCCGCGGCGTGACCGACGCCCCGCCGGGAGCCCCGTGTGGCCCGCGCTGCCCTCGAGGCTCCGGCGGGAAGTCGCGCGGGGCCGCCGGGGCCGCGGCCGGTGCGGGTCTCCTCGGAAAATGTCCCCTCCCCAGCCCCGCCCCCGTCCCCGGGGCTTCTCCTCGCGTTTGGGGGAGCGGAAGGCCCGGGGGAGGCCCGCGGGGGAGGCCGGCCGCCTCTCGCACGGCGGGTCCGGGTGTGGGCGCTGGAGGGCGCCCGCCTTCCCCGCGGGTGTTCGGGGCTGCCCGGGGGGCGGCGGGCGGCGGGCGGCGGGCGGCGGGCGGGGCCCGCGCAGGAAGGGAACGGCCGTGATTCCGGGCCTGGTTCCGCGAGGCTTTCCGGGGGGCTTCGGAAGTTCTGTCTCGGGAGAGAATCCAGGCCGGTGCTGTGTGGCCCCGTCTTTCCCGTGAGGAGATGTAGAAGATGGAAAAGTTGCGTCTTTTGAGACGGAGTCTCACGCCGCCGCCCAGGCTGCAGTGCGGGGGCGCGATCTCGGCCCGCCGCGGCCTTGGCCTCCCGGGCTCCGGCCCACGCCCGGCTGGTTGGTTTTTTTTTTTTTTTTTTTTGGTAGAGCTGGGGATTTGCCATGTTGCCCAGGCTGGTCTCAAACTCCTGACCTCCTGTGATCCGCCGCCTCGGCCTCCTAAATGGCTGGAATGACAGGCGTGAGCCACCAGGCCTGTCCCAGAAGTCATTTTTAAAAGAACTTTTGCCTCTATTTTTAGATTGTTCAGACTTTTGGCTTGTCTTCTCTTGAAGATAGCGTTCGCGTCCGTCTTCGCGACTCCGTGTGTCGGCCTGCTTGCTTCCAGTTTCCGTGGGAAACACAGACGTTTGTGTGTGTACACGTGCTCTGTGCTGGCGTGAGCTGCTGAGTTCCTTGGGCTGCTGCTGTAGCTCCAAGGTTGAGAGCGGGGAGTATCTGTGGGTCACACATACTTAAAGGCACTCCCTCTCACTGACCGTGATGCCCTGTGGCCGGTCAGGCTTCCTGCCAGCTTCCCCGGGGTTGTGTGTTGGAGTTTCTCGGGGAAGAAAGTTTTGCTGAGATAGCAGGGTGATGCCTAGCCTCCTCAAAGGGTGGTTTCCAACCATTTGGGGTTTGTGATGCCTTCTTTTTACTGAAATGTGCTATACCTGTAGAATAGTGCATGTATCGTAAGTGTTCAGGTAATGAATTTTCCAGACTGAACACACCTGTCACCAGCAATTCAGAAATTGAATATACCTGGCCACCGTTGATTCCAGTAAATGCCCCACCTGGCTTCCACAATGGGTTCGTTTTGCCTGCTTCTGTACTTTGCTTCTGTATTTTCTTAGTCAGCATCATGCTTGTGATTTTTTTTTTTTTCTTTCCGTATTGGGTATAATTGTAGAACAGTCTTTTTTTTTTTTTTTTTTCCGAGACGGAGTCACTCTGTCACCCAGGCTGGAGTGCTGTGGCTCGATCTTGGCTCCCAGCAACCTCCACCTCCTGGGTTCAAGTGATGCTCCTGCCTCAGCCTCCCAAGTATCTGGGATTACATGGCGCCGCCCCCTCCCCCACCACGCCCAGCTCATTTTTGTTTTTGGTAGAGATGGGGTTTCACCATGTTGGCCAGGCTAGTCATGAACTCCTGACCTCATTATCCACCTGCCTTGGCCTCCTAAAGTGCTGGGATTACAGGTGTGAGCCACCACGCCTGGCCAGATCATTCTTAATGATGCACAAGGTTCCTTTGTCCAGATATGTAACAATTCATATATCCATTCTACCATGGTTGGGCATTTGGCTACATTCCAGTTTTTGGCTATCATAAGCATAATAGTGCTACTATGATTATTCTAGAACATGTCTTTTACTGACATGTGTTCACATTTTCACAAGGCATATACTCCTATATATCTGGGAGTAGAATTCACAGTGTAGTCGATAGTGCACATAGTTTTCCAAAGTGGTTGCACCACTTCGCCCTCAACTGGCAGGTCTGAGAGTTCCCATAGCTCTACATCCAGCTCACATTTGGTGGTCATTTTGGTGGCTGTGTAAATCTGTCTGTGTTATTTGCATTTTTCTGATTTTCTATGTTGATTCACCATCTGGATATCCTCTTTTGTGAAATGTCTAAGTCGTTGGAGTTGTTTGCCTTTTTATTGTGGATTTTTAGGAGGTGGTTTGGTATTTTTATTTATTTATTTTTTTTGAGATGGAGTCTTGCTCTGTCGCCCAGGCTGGAGTGCAATGGCATGATCTCGACTCACTGCAGCCTCTGCCTCCCGGGTTCAAATGATTCTCCTGTCTTAGCCTCCCAAGTAGCTGGGATCATGGACACCCACCGCCATGCCTGGCTAATTTTTTTGTATTTTTACCACCTGCCTCGGCCTCCCAGAGTGCTGTGATTACAGGCGGGAGCCACCATGCCCGGTGGGTATTTTATACAAGTGTTTTGTCAGAAATATATGTGTTCTGATGAAGACAAGTATGGGGTTAAAGCTTGGGGAAGATGTAATGGTTGACAGAGGAAGATTAGGCTCCTTTATCATTTTCATGTTTTCCAGCAAGGGATTCCTCTATTCAGATTGTATGAGTCCAACAACATAAAGAGGGAGTTATGACGCAGAATAACTTGCGATAACAACATAGCACTTTCAAGTGAGTTTCAGATTCCAGGCCCGAGTGAATTATGTTTCACAGTGCAAGAGTTGATTGCAAAATGTGTGCTCAGTTGACTGGGGTAGTTGTCAGAGGTCCTTGGATCTGTTATGGTCTACAGTTTTATAAGTGACTTGGACAAAAACACAGGCATGCTTTTCACATTTGGAAGGGTAGCTGATAAGATAGAGTAATATGGCTGCCAAACTGGAATGGCGGATTAAATTTAGTAGACTGGGAATGTATTTATTTGTTTGTTTTATTTTTTTCTTCGAGATGGAGTCCTGTTCTGTCGCCTAGGCTGGAGTGCAGAGTGCAGCTGTGCAGTCTCAGCTCACTGAAACCTTTGCCTCCCAGGTTCCAGCAATTCTCCTGCCTCAACCTCCCGAGTAGCTGGGATTATAGGTGCCCACCGCCATGCCTGGCTAATTTTTGTCTTTTTAGTGGAGATGGGGACCTCTGGTCTCCCCGGCACCCTGCCCTTCCCCTCGCCTGGTGTCCACCGTGGGCAGGGCTGCCTGCTTCGTGGACGTCCTGCTCCAGGTGCGTCCTTCGCATATGTCACTCATTGCCCCTCCAACACCTGGTGTGATACGTGACACACAGCACTCAAATGTATTTGCAGGAGTTGAAAGGAGTTGTGACTTCGCACATACCATGTCCGTGTGGTTTGAGCGTCTGCAAGAGTCCCTAGTAGTCGCTGGTTTCTCCAGACCCCTTACTTTCCCGCTCCAGGCCAGGGGATTAATGTCTCTTTTACACTCCCGCTTTAGGATGCTTTGCATGTGGGATGGAAAATGGATTCCGAGTCTATAACACCGATCCACTAAAAGAAAAGGAGAAACAAGGTAAGGGTTAACGGACGTTTCCTGGTTTCTCCCCTTTCCAACCCTCAGAGTCTAAATTTAACCTTGCAGGTGGAGCTGGGAGGTGATGGCTATTTTTGAAAAGTAAATAGGGTTCATGGCCCCCCATAAATTTGGAGGGAGCTGTCCTCTTTTTTTTGTTGAGCTCCTGTGTATGCTGAGGGGTACAGGAGTGCGTTGAGCAGGCTTGGGCCCAGGCCTGGCTTCTCTGGTTAAGTACTGATCAGCGTGAACTTGTGTCACAACAGGGATTTTCAGAGGTTTTTTGGCAGCAGAAACCTCTTCTCAAGTAGTCTTACCTATAACCCTGGGATGTAGAACAGTGAGTGGTGCTTTGTATGTGGGAGTTTGTTTTGTAAGTCAGGGTGCATCTCCTTAATTGATGATGGGAAGACTGCCCTGGGAGCTTAGAGCTCAGGCTGCATGCACACTGTGTACATTTGAGTCCTGGTTCTGCCCTTGACCAGGCTGCTATGTGACTGTGGACAAGTTTCTCAACCTCTCTGGCCTGATTTTCTTGATAGGTGAAATAAGGTTGATAATAATGCCTGCTTACTAGAGTTACTGTAACAGTGAGTCGGGGTGTGTAAGACACGTAGATTAATGCCTGTACGCGTCAGGTGCTGAGAGTGTACGACACTACCGTCGTTGTCAGCAGGAGCTGCCACCTGCATGACTCTCATAGAGGAAGTCAGTGGAACCGTCGAGTTGCAGGTGGTGCTGGTGTTCATGGCATCTAGCGTACAGTTACTTCGTTTTGGTTGTGCTTTATGCAGATAGGTAGTTGCAACACTTTTTTTCTTTTTGAGACAGAGTCTCACTCTGTAGTCCAGGCTGCAGTGCAGTGTTGCAATTTTGTCTTGCTGCAACCTCCGCCTCCTGAGTTCAGGCAAATCTCCTGCCTCAGCTTTCTGAGTAGCTGGGATTATAGGCACATACCACCATGCCCGGCTAATTGTTTTGTATTTTTGGTAGAGATGGGGTTTCACCATGCTGGTTTCGATCTCCTAACCTCGTGATCTGCCCACCTTGGCCTCCCAAAGTGCTAGGATTACAGGTGTGAGCCACTGCACCCACTTTTTTTTTTTTTTTTTTTGAGACAGAGTCTAACCTCTATCACCCAGGCTGGAGTGCAGTGGCACAATCTCAGCTTACCACAACCTCCACCTCCCGGGTTCAAGCAGTTGTCCTGCCTCAACTTCCCGAGTAGCTGGGATTATAGGCATGTGCCACCACTCCTGGCTAATTTTGTATTTTATTTTATTTTTTAGTAGAGATGGGGTTACTCCATGTTGGTCAGACTGGTCTCTAACTCCTGACCTCAGGTGATTTGCCCCCCCCCACTCTGCCTCCCAAAGTGCTGGGATTACAGGTGTGAGCCACCACACCCAGCTGCAAAACATTTTAAAACAGCGTGACTTGCAGATCTCAGGATACTCTTTACTAAATTGACCCAGAAGCTTAAAGAAGAGTTTGTAGACATTGGTATCAAAGTTCAGTCGTTAACAGCTGTGTAGGGAAAAATTCTCCAACCGTGTTTTTTCTCTGCTCTCACACCGCAGCAGTCCATCAGCATAGAAGAAGACCTCTGTGACAGAATGTGGGGGGCTTTTTCCCCACATGCCAAGCAGTGGACACCAGCTGGGTGTCCTTTGAGTTCTGACACCATCCACCTAGAGATAGAATCAGATCCCACAGGTTGAGGGCTCAGTCCCCAAGACTGCCCCACTCACAACATTCACGAGTGTGGGTCTCCTAACATCAGACTGGCTTTAAGTTGGGATTCCCGCAACCGCCGCATTGGATTGAATTAGTTTGCTGCAGCAGCTCACGGAACTTGGGGAAGCACATGTACCAGTTTAGCAGTTGTCTCTAGCCTTTCTGGCACCAGGGACTGGTTTTAGGGGAGTCAGTTTGTTCAGGGGTCAGGAATGGCTTCAGGATGAAATATCTCCCTTCAGATCATCAGGCATTAGACTCTCGTGAGACCGCATAGCCTCCACATCTCAGATCATCAGGCCTTAGAGTCTCATGAGAGCACAGCCTCCATTTCTCAGATCATCAGGCCTCAGAGTCTCATGAGAGTGCAGCCTCCATCTCTCAGATCATCAGGCCTCAGAGTCTCATGAGAGTGCAGCCTCCACATCTCAGATCATCAGGCCTCAGAGTCTCATGAGAGCACAGCCTCCATCTCTCAGATCATCAGGCCTCAGAGTCTCATGAGAGCACAGCCTCCATCTCTCAGATCATCAGGCCTTAGAGTCTCATGAGAGTGCAGCCTCCACATCTCAGATCATCAGGCCTTAGAGTCTCATGAGAGCACAGCCTCCATTTCTCAGATCATCAGGCCTCAGAGTCTCATGAAAGTGCAGCCTCCATCTCTCAGATCATCAGGCCTTAGAGTCTCATGAGAGCACAGCCTCCATTTCTCAGATCATCAGGCCTCAGAGTCTCATGACAGTGCAGCCTCCATCTCTCAGATCATCAGGCCTTAGAGTCTCATGAGAGTGCAGCCTCCGCATCTCAGATCATCAGGCCTTAGAGTCTCATGAGAGTGCAGCCTCCACATCTCAGATCATCAGGCTTCAGAGTCTCATGAGAGTGCAACCTCTACATCTCAGATCATCAGGCCTCAGAGTCTCATGAGAGTGCAGCCTCCTCATCTCAGATCATCAGGCCTCAGAGTCTCATGAGAGTGCAGCCTCCACATCTCAGATCATCAGGCCTTAGAGTCTCATGAGAGCACAATCTCTGTCTCTCGGATCATCAGGCGTTTTAGAGTCTTATGAGAGCGTAGCTTCTGCCTCTTCCATGTGCGTTCACAGCAGGGTCCACCTTCCTTTGAGAATCTAACACTGCCACTGATCTGACAGCGGGCAGAGTTCTGGTGTGAATGCTTGTTCGCCTGCAGGCCACGGAGCAATACTGCCTCATGCACATGCGGACCCCTGTTATAAAGGATGTTGCCAAGGATACAGATGAAGGCAAAGGCAGGACAGGGTTTGGGGACAGGCCGTAGAGCTCCCAAACCCTCTGTGGGCGGTGGTCCCCCCAGGACCTTCCAGGTGTTCTGCTAACCTCTTCAATTTGTATGCTTTTCTTTTAACTTCATAATTCATTTTCCTTTTTCCACATGTGTTACAGAAAATACCTCTTGGATTTTTTTTTTTTTTTTTTTTTTTGAGACGGAGTTTCGCTCTTGTTACCCAGGCTGGAGTGCAATGGCGCGATCTCGGCTCACCGCAACCTCCGCCTCCCGGGTTCAGGCAATTCTCCTGCCTCAGCCTCCTGAGTAGCTGGGATCACAGGCACGTGCCACCATGCCCAGCTAATTTTTTGTATTTTTAGTAGAGACGGGGTTTCACTATGTTGACCAGGATGGTCTCGATCTCTCGACCTCGTGATCCACCCGCCTCGGCCTCCCAAAGTGCTGGGATTACAGTGTGAACCACCGTGCCCAGCCACCTCTTGGATTTTTAAGGAAGCTTCCTGGTATCTGCATTCCTTCTCCCAGTGTGTAGGGTGGGACCCTCTCTGCGGAGGGTCTTCAGACCCACAATCAAGTGGAGAAGATTTGAGTCATACCTTCGTAGGGGAGAGGAGAGCGGGAGAGAGATTCTGGTTCCTAGGGCCTAACACACCCAACATTATAACAAAAGACTGTATCGAGGTCTGTGGGAGTTCAGAGCCAGGAGCCATGAATGAACGCGTATATGTCTCTCTCTTTTTTTTTTCTATTTTGCTACTGTCACCCAGTCTGGAGTACAGTGGCGTGATCTCGGCTCACCACAACCTCCGCCTTCCAGGTTTAAGCGATTCTCCTGCCTTAGCCTCCCAAGACCTGGGATTACAGGCCTACACCACCACGCCTGGCAAATTTTTTGTATTTTTAGTAGAGATGGGGTTTCTCCATGTTGGTCAGGCTGGTCTCGAACTCCCGACCTCAGGTGATCTGCCTGCCTCAGCCTCCCAGAGTGCTGGGGTGACAGGTGCCAGCCACCGCGCCTGGCATGTCTCTCTCATAACACCACAGCAGCGTATTAACAGCTGCTTCCTAATTCATGAAGATTTTACAGTAAATTCAACATTTCTTACAAAGATGAGTTAGACGACTGGGCATGGTGACTCAGGCCTGTCATCCTACCACTTTGGGAGGCCAAGGCGGGCCAATTGCCTGAGCTCAGGAGTTCGAGACCAGCCTGGGCAACATGGAAAAAGCCCATCTCTACTAGAAATATAAAAAATTAGCTGAGTGTTACGGTGCGTACCTGTAATCTCAATTACTAGGAAAGCTGAGGCACAAGAATTGCTTAAACCCGGGAGGTGGAGGTTGTAGTGAGCCAAGATCATGCCACTGCACTCCAGCCTGGGTGACATAGTGAGACTCCTTCTCAAAAAAAAAATTGTTGGACAAGATGCATCTAAAATTTCTCAATTCCAGGAAAGTATACCGATGGTGTGGTTTAGTGCATCCCACACATACCGGTCCTGTGCGGCTGCCAGCCCTGCCCCGCCGTCCCTGAGCTTAGCACGCAGTGAGTTCTCATGTGCACATGTGGCGTGCTCCCGTTTCTAGCTTCAGTGGGTTGACAGGCCCTAACGTTGAAATGGATACAGGAGGGCCACGCTGTCTTTTTGATGGCACATTTAAGAGGTTGCCGCTGTGCACTTACAGACTTACCTGCTGTTCTGTGTCTGGCAGTCTCCAGTTTAATGTGAAGAGTGGCAGCAGACTTGCCCTTGTTCCGTTTTAATTTCAGCGGTTTGCTTTCCCAAGTTGCAGGGAAGGAAGCCTGCATTGCAGTGTGTCCTGGATCTGGGCTTGTGGCGTGTTCTCTCTAGTGTGACTGTGGCATTGAGTAAGGACACTGGGCTCTTCCAGATATGTGTCTGCCACTTGACAGGAACAGGAAGCTGGTCGTTCAGGGAAGCTTTCTTGGGGATCCCTGCTCCTTCAGTCATGGGGTCCAGTGTTCTCCCTCCCTGCTGCATCCATTGCACACTAAGATTTGTTGTTTCCAGAGACGGCTTGGCCGTCAGGACAGTGCTGTTCGCTCATCTGGGAAGGCCCGTGGGCCCCAGGGAAGGCTGCCTGAAGTGGAGGCTGCAGCCTGTCATGGTCCTCGTAGTGACGCTGTGAGATCACAGCGGAGGACTGGGGTTTGACACACGCACACGACCGAGGGTACACTGCGGAACAGTTCCCTGGTCAGGGGAACGAATGGAGTGTTTCAGGAATGACACTTTAGCACCCCATGGCTGTAGACATAGAAGAGTGTACATGAAAAGTCAGTTGCACTTGTCACTTAAAAACACAGCTCTCCCACATCACAGAGCTGAGTAGAACCTGTGGAACTTGGGTCCATCCCGGTGAGCTTGCTGGCTCTGCAGGCTGGGCAGAGGTGATCTGAGGCCTTCTGCCATCTTCAGTGCGGCCTGCATTTCTCTGGGTGACCAGGACTCACGTGTCATGACGTTGGCAGCCACACAGGGAGAAGTAAAGAGGACTCAGAGATCTAGAGAGGATGCCCTGTCTGAGGTTGAGCCGCAGGTGAAGGCTGTGCCAGTGGATGGCAAGCGCGTTGTTGACAGGCACCTGTTGGGCGTTGAGTGGTTCACTCGAGGCTGGAGATAAGAGTGAGGAGTGAGACTGGCAGGTGTCTTCATGGGACACACTGAGCATCTGTACAGCTCCTGACGCCAGCAGCCCACAGCGCACCCGATCTGAGGCACACAGCCCAGGGCCTCAGCACATCTAGTTCACAGCAGGTCCCGTGAGCCTCATGCTCAGTGTACTCACCCAGCATGCCAGGTGAAGGTGTCAGAGAAACGGGAGGCCTGCAAGGCGGTGGGGACGGGGGTGGAGATCACTGCAGGTGGGAGGGACACAGAGGTGGTGTGTAGCTTTGGGAAGGAGCTGGAAAGGAGAAGTTTCATTACCTGGTGGTGGAAGGTTAAATTGGTAGAGCCGTGTTGTGGAGGAATTTCGCAAGATGTGTTCCTTTTAGGTAACACTGTTTGATGCTGCTATACTGATACTACTTGCAACACTTTCCAAGAGTGAAAAATGGGAGGACCTGAATTACTGCCATGAAAGTGTTGATTATGGTGGTTACGGCACATCTTTAAAATGGTACACTAATGCAGTGAGAATGCTGAGACCAGTCTGTGAATCCTGACATGGAGAGATGGCCATGGCATTGTTAAAGGGAAAATAACTTAGAGAATAGCACAGGTGGTATTATAGGGACAGTGTTTACACACACAGTTTGGATCATACGTGGCCGGGGGGAGTGGCTCACACCTGTCCTCCCATCTACTCAGGAGGCTGAGGTGCGAGGATTGCTTGAGCCAAGAAGTCAAATGAAGATGATGCCACTGCACTCCAGCCTGGGTGACAGAGCAAGACCCTGTCTCAAAAAATAAAGTACATATGTGATGTTGTTTCACAGTGTTTTCTACTTTTTGCTTTTCTGTGGTGGTTTATAGTAATGATGTATAATTTTTTTTTTTTTTTTTTTTTTTTTTGAGACAGAGTTTTGCATTTGTCACCCAGGCTGGAGTGCAGTGGCATGATCTCAGCTCACTGCAACCTCCACCTCCTGGGTTCAACCGATTCTCCTGCCTCAGCCTCCCAAGTAACTAGGATTACAGGCATTCACCACCACACCCAGCTAATTTTTTTTTGAAATTTTAGTAGAGATGAGGTTTCACCATGTTGACTAAGCTGGTTTCCAACTCCTTACCTCAAGTGATCCGCCTGCCTCACCTCCCAAAGTCCTGGGATTACAGGTGTGAGCCACCGTGTCTGATCTTTTTATTGTTTTTTAATTGAGGCAGCATCTCACTATCTTGCCCAGGCTGGTCTTGAGCTCCTGGCCCGAGGTCATTGTCCTACCTTGGCCTCCCAGAGAGCTGGGATTATAGGTACCAACTGCTGTGCCCAGCCTCTTTTTAATTTTTTGAGGACTTGCCCTACTTTTTTCCAGAGCGGCTGTATCAGACAGTGCATAAGAGTTCCCATGTCTGCACATCGTGGCCGGTGCTTGTTCTTTTCTGGGTTAAAAAAATATTAGCCATTCTGTGTAGTGAGCCATGCTCCCGTCACTGTGCTCCAACATGGGCAACTCTGCCTCAAAGGAAAAAAGTCATCCAGACGGGTATGAGGTGGGATCTCACTGTGGTTCTGACTTGGATTTCTCTGAGGACTAATGATATTTAGCGTCTTTTCTTGTACTTCTCAGCCATTTGTAAATCATCTTTGAGAAAGAAATCCTTTGCCAATTGTAAAATCAGGTTATTGATTTTTTTATTGTTGAGTTGTCAAAGTCCTTCACATATCCTGGATATTACCCACTTACCAGACGTGTGATTTGCAGACACACTCTGCCATTCCATGGGTTGCATTTTCACTCTGTTGATTGTGTCCTTTGGTGCACAAAAGTTTTAAAATTGGATGTAGTTTCAAAAGCACATTGCCTGTGCTGCTTGTTTTACTTTGATTTTTTTTTTTTCTTTTTGAGATGGAGTCTTGCTCTGTTGCCCAGGCTGGAGTGCAGTGGCGTGATCTCTGCTCACTGCAACCTCTGCCCCCGAGGCTCAAGCGATTCTCCTGCCTCAGCCTCCTGTGTAGCTGGGACTACAGGCACCCACTACCAATCCCAGCTAATTTTTTAATTTTAAGTAGAGATGAGGTTTCACTGCGTTGGCCAGGTTGGTCTCAAACTCCTGTCCTCAAATGATCTGCCTGCCCTGGCCTCCCAAAATACTGGGATTACAGGCATGAGCCACTATGCCCAGCCGTTTTCTAGAAGTTCTGTAGTTTAGGGTCTGTCTTTTCCGTGTTTCACCCATTTTGAATATGGTGGGAGATAAAGACCCAGCTTCATTCTTTTGTTTGTGGACAGCCAGCTTCCCTGGAAGCACTTGTTGAGGAAACGCCGTTCCTCCCTTGAGTGGTCAGCATTTGTTTGGCGGAAGGTGATTGGCAGTTCTTCTCTCTCAGCTCTGGCCCATTGCAGTCCATCCGTCTCTTCAGGATTGTTCCAGTTAGAAACCAGGTGTTAACTGGCAGCATGCTTCCTGTTGTATGGGGAGTGAGTTTTTGGAACAAGAGTAGGCTCGGTTGCTGGGGATTGGTGTCCTGTGCCAAGAGGGTGAAGGAGCTGTGGCCTTCACCCTCTTGGGGCGGGGTGGGGAGCATGGCCTCCCTGCGCCATGGTAATCATTGTGGTTTATGCTATAGCCACGTCCTGTTAAAGCCAGAATTACTTTGAGATGTCTTATGTGTAAGTGTCTGTAAGAAGTTGTTTTCATCGTGGATAATATGGATGATTTTTTCTCTTGGGGGGTGTGGGGGGACAGGGTCTTGCTCTGTCACCTGAACTGTAGTACAAGATACAGTCTTGGCTCACTGCAGCTCAACCTCCTGGGCTTAAGGGATCTTTCTGCCTCAGCTTCCTTAGTAGTTGGGACTACATGCATGGGCCACCACTCCTGGCTAATGTTTTTATTTTTATTTTTGGTAGAGAGGGGATTTCCCTATGTTGCCCAGGGTGGCCTTGAACTCTTGTGCTCAAGCAGTCCTCCCACCTCTACTTGCCAGAGTGCTGGGATTACAGGTGTGAGCCACAGTGCCCAGTCTGGTTTTTGTTTTTTGTTTTTTGTTTTTGAGACAGAGTCTCACTCTGTCACCAGGCTGGAGTGCAGTGGTGTGATCTCGGCTCACTCCAACCTCCACCTCTTGGGTTCAGGTGATTCTTCTGCCTCAGCCTCTGGAGTAGCTGGGACTACAGGTGCATGCCACCACACCCGGCTAATTTTTTTCTATTTTTAGTAGAGACTAAACTTGGGATTTTACCATGTTGGCCAGGCTGGTCTTGAACTCCTGACCTTGTCATCTGCCTGCCTTGGCCTCCCAGAGTGTTGGGATTATAGGTGTGAGCCACTGTGCCCGGCCATAAATGGCTGATTAAAAATGAGTCCTGTAGTCCCAGCTGTTTGGGAGGCTGAGGCAGGAGGATCATGCAGCCCAGGAGTCCAAGGCTACAGTGAGCTGTGATTGTGCCTGTGAGTAGCTACTGCACTCCAGCCTGGGCAACGCAGTGAGATCTTATCTCTTACAAAAAAGAAAGAAAGAAAATTGCTGAGTGTTGGTTGTCTTGACTTTCTCTTTTCTTTTTTATTGTAAAATATACATATTAATTTGTAACATTTATCTTCTTAAAACTATCATTTCAGAATTTCTAGAAGGAGGAGTTGGCCATGTCGAAATGTTATTTCGCTGCAACTATTTAGCTTTAGTTGGTGGTGGGAAAAAGCCGAAATACCCTCCCAACAAAGGTACGGTAACTGTTTGTTTAAGAATCGTGCCTCATGTGTCCTAGTCTTTTCTTGAATGTGTTTATGTTTGTGGCTAGTGTGATTTTCCCTGGTGGTTCTCTGAAGTGTCAAGGACTGGTCACTGGGGAGGAGGCCGGCTGCAAGGCCGCCAGGTCTCTATTCCCAGAGGAGCACGTGGAGAGCGTCCCTCGCTCCCGTTGTTCAGTCCGTTGTTCAGTCAGGGCTAGTAGACAGAAACCAGGGGACCTGCTGCACCGTAGGCTGACACCATCAATGTCTTGAATTCATTTGAAAGCAGGGTAGAAGGGTTTTTTTTTCCCTTACTGAGACCCATTGACTTAAAGGAACATAAGTTTCATAGCCACATAGAAGAAAAAACTAGTTTGGCTTTGGGTTTCGGGATTTTTTTTGTCGGGGTGGGACTGAGTGCACGTGTGTGTGCAGATGACGCTGCATAAGAGCTCTGGTCCTTGTAAAGTCGAGGGAGGAGTAGACGATTTTCCAGATAGCCTTGTGTCTGTGCAAGCTTCACCTCGCTGTTGCTAAAGGGAAGAGGGAGTGAGGCGGAAGGTCCAGGAATGGGGAGGGCAGAGCACGGGGAAGAGGTGGGAGGTCGGCTGGGGCGGGAGGCGGAGGCAGATCTGGGGGAGGCTCGAACGCCAGGAAGGAGATGCTGCCAGATCTGTGTTTGGGGAAAGTTCTAGAGGCAGTGCAGGAGGTGAGTGAAGAGACAATCAGAGGACGGGGCAGGCGTGGGAGGCCCCTGTTATGGGGAGAGGTAAGAGAAGTGGAGCGAGCGTGTTCGTCGGAGCCCAGTGCCACGCGGCAGGAGGAGGCCTGAGAAAAGCCATCTGGTTCTGGTGATGTCGAAGGCCACCGGTGGTCTCAGAGGACAGCTAAGTGGGAGCCCAGTGGTGGGTTGGTGGGTGGGTGGGTGGGTGGGCTGGGAGCAGGTGGTGGGAGGGAAGGAGAGGCGTGAAGGAGGCAGTTCAGAATCAAGACCAGGATGGGGCTGCGGATGCTGCATGCCAAGTGGTAAGTGTGCAGGTGAGCGAGGATCCGGGCGAGACCATGTACTTGGGGACAGAATAGCCTAGGCCAGGCTGTGTGGGAAGGTAGAATTCTAGATGACTCGTGGCAGGCTCTCGGGCCCGGGTCACAGTTCTCAGCAGAGCCCTGTGAACTGCATGAACATGAATGTGAGGAAGAGACGCCACACTCAGCGTGCGGGCAGGCCCTGCCTGACAACACTTACTTTTGTTTTGGAATTAGGAGCAGAGAAATGAAATGGAAAGAGATGACTGACAGGAAAAACAGTGGAAGACAGAGCTTTAGATCTTGTCCTTTGAGCAGTTCTGTAGTCTCACAGGCCCAGGGTTTGTCTGTGCCAGCTTTAGAGCAGAGTTGTGAGGGGCTGCCAGCGCAGCCCAGAGAGGGAGAGGCCTGTGGCTTGTGAGTGCTCTGGAGGCACCCACCCAGAACGAACAGTGGGGGTTTCACAGAGAGGGTGGGGAAGGCTTTGGAGGAGATTGACCTTGCCCTGGCTAATTGGGGATGGGCAGAAATCCTGCTGGTGGATTGGTCTGTGTCTTGTCATGGAGAACATGATCAACCATCAAGGAAGAAAGGACGCTTACGGATGGAAGTTAGGAGGCCTGCAGGGCCGCCTCCCTTTTCTACATCTGGCACTGCTGGGCGTACCCCAGGTACTAACTAGGGAGCCATCTGTATAGGATAATCTCAGGTCTCATTCTCATTATAAAGTTTCTGAGAGGTGTAAAAGCCTTACAAGTTTTACAGACTTAGAATAAAGCAGTATTCAGCAGTTTCTGAATAAGTGTACCTTTTGTACCATATAAGGTCTTTTTTTAAACTAGTAAACTTTATTTTTTTAAGTTTATTTATTTATTTTTTTTTTTTTTGAGGCAGGGTCTCACTGTATTGCCCAGGCTGGAATGCAGTTGCACAATCCTGGCTCACTGCAGCTTTGACCTCCCCAGGCTCAGGTGATCTGCCTCAGCCTCCCAAGTAGCGCCCACCACACCCGGCTGATTTTTGTATTGGTAGCAGGGACGGCATTTCAACATGGTGTCCACGCTGGTCTCACACTCGAGCTCCAGTGATCTGCCTGCCTCTGCCTCTGCCTCCCAAAGTCCTGGGATTACAGGTGTGAGCCGCCATGCCTGGCTGTGTTACTTGTGTGCTTTTTTGAGACAGGGTCTCCTGCTGCCCAGATTGGAGTGCAGTGGGGTGATCATAGCTTACTGCAGACTCAAACTCCTGGACTGAACCTGAGTAGCTGTGACTAATTTTTGTTGTTGTTGTTGAGATGGGAGTTTTGCTCTTCTTGCCCAGGCTGGAGTGCCGTGGCGCAGTTTCAGCTCACTGCAACCTCTGCCTTCCAGGTTCTAGTGATTCTCCTGCCTCAGCCTCCTAAGTAGCTGGGATTATAGGCACCTACCACCATGCCCAGCTAAGTTTTGTATTTTTAGTAGAGATGGGGTTTTGCCATGTTGGCCAGGCTGGTCTCAAACTCTTTTTGTTGTTGTTGTTGTTGTTGTTGTTGTTGTTGTTGTTGCTTTTGGTCTCAAACTCTTGACCTCATGATCCTCCCACCTTGGCCTCCCAAAGTACTGGGATTACAGGTGTGAGCCACCGTGCCTGGCTCTGACTAATTTTTAATAACCTCCCTCACCCCCAACACACTGGGTCTCACTGTGTTGCCCAGGCTGGTCTTGAACTCTTGGCCTCAAGCAGTCTCACACCTCAGCTTCCCAAAGCACTGGGATTACAGGCAGGAGCCACTGCACCCATCCCTCCTGTGGTTCTTCAAAAGCACAGTGCTGATTGGCATTCTCGTCCTTAAAGCTCATCTATAAATTAGGCCTTAGAACACAAACTGCTAATTTATCCTAACAGAATGTTGCAATGTTAGCAGGCAAACAAGACAGAAGAAATTTTGAACTTAAAATAGAGCAGGGGCTGGGTGCAGTGGCTCATGCTTGCAATCCTAGCACTTTGGGAAGTTGAGGCGAGTGGATCACTTCAGCCCAGAAGTTTGAGACCAGCCTGAGCAACATGGCAAAACCCCGTCTCTACCAAAATTACAAAAATTAGCTGGGCCTGGTAATGTATGCCCAGGTAATGTAGTCCCATTCATTTGGGAAGCTGACGTGGGAGAATCTCTTGAGGTCAAGGCTGCAGTGAGCCAAAATTGTGCCACTGCACACTCCAGCCTGAGCAAGAGAATGGGACCCTATCTCAAAGAAAGAGCAAGAACAGCTCAGGAGGTTGAGTGGAGTGAAGACCTTGCTGGTCCTGGTTTGTGTCCCTCTGATTTCACTTTAAAACTGAAGCCTCTTGGTCAGGCATGGTGGCTCACGCCTGTAATCCCAGCACTTCGGGAGGCTGAGGCAGGCAGACCACGAGGTCAGGAGTTCAATACCAGCCTGGCCAACATGGTGAAACCTCATCTCTACTAAAAATACAAAAATTAGCTGGGCATGGTGGTGCCTGCTTGTAGTCCCAGCTGCTCGGGAGGCTGAGGCAGGAGAATCACTTGAACCCAGGAGGCAGAGGTTGCAGTGAGCTGAGATCGCGCCACTGCACTCCATCATGGGCAACAGAGTGAGACCCTGTCAAAGAAAAAACAACACCAGAACTGAAGCCTCTCTTCTGACGTAGGGTTATCTTCAGCACTTTAACATCAGTACCTGTGGTCAGGCTTGCCCATGGGCTCGGTCGGGTGGCACCAAGGAAGGGCAGGGAGAGAGGAAAGTACCCAGGCCAGAGGATGAATGCATTTAGTGTGCCTGTGTATGCGAGGCCGGTGGATTGCCTGAGACCAGGACTGGGTGTGTGTGTACCGAGAGGGGAACGGGCAGAGGGAGCAAGCCAGTAGCCAGATACCGAGGAGGAGGATGGCTGATCACCAGCAGCTCCCAGTGAAAACGCAGAGAACGAGAGGACGCCGCGCTCTCAGATGAATTCTTGCTGCTCACGCACCAGGAGATTCCCAGCGGAGGAGCCCCACGGGTCGCCAGCGCAACTCTTGTGACCGGCGAGGCGGTTTTGCCGGCGCCTTGGAGTGTCGGTTCTTGGTGCAGAGTCAGAAAAGCACCATCAATCTTAACGCCGCTGTTTTAGTCGGCGCAGTGGGTTGCTCAGATTTCAACGCTGAGAATCAATAAGATGGACGTCCACTCAGAAACCCAATTACAAAGACGGTAATTATAAAGACCACAGATGGATAAATCCACAACGAAGGGAAGAAAACAGCCAAAAAAGGCTGAGAATACCCAAGATCAGAACGCCTCTCCCTCAGCAGGGGATCCCAGTTCCTCATCAGCAACGGAACAAGGCAGATGGAGAACGAGTGTGTTCCAGTTACAGAAGCAGGCTTCAAAACGTGGATAATAAGAAACTTCTGTGAATTAAAAGAACTTGTTTTAACCCAATCCAAAGAAACTAAGAACTTTGAAAAAAGGTTTGATGAAATGTTAACAAGAATACACAATTTAGAGAGGAATCTAATTGAATTGATGGAGCTGAAAAACACAATACGAGAACTTTGTGAAGTATGCACAAGTTTTAACAGCTGAATTGATCAAGCAGAAGAAAGGATATCAGAGGTCGAAGACCAACTCAATGAAATAAAACGAGAAGACAAGATTAGAGAAAAAGGATAAAAAGGAACGAGCAAAGTCTCCAAGAAATATGGGACTATGTGAAAAGACCTAATCTACGCTTGAAAGGTGTACCTGAATGTGACGAAGACAATGAATCCAAGCTGGAAAATATGATTCAGGATGTTATTCAGGAAAATTTTCCCAACCTAGTAAGGCAGGATAATATTCAACTCCAGGTAATACAGAGAACACCACAAAGATATCCCTCAAGAAGAGCAACTCCAAGGCACATAATCGTCAGGTTCACCAGGGTTGAAATGAAGGCGAAAATACTAAGGGCAGCCAGAGAGAAAGGTCAGGTTACCCACAAAGGGAAGCCTATCAGACTCACAGCAGATCTCTCAGCAGAAACCCTACAAGCCAGAAGAGAGTGGGGACCAATATTCAACATCCTTAAAGAAAATACTTCAACCCAGAATTTCACATCCAGCCAAACTAAGCTTCATAAGTGAAGGAAAAGTAAAGTTTTTTGTGAGCAAGCAAGCACTCAGAGATGTCATCACCACCAGGCCTGCTTTACAAGAGCTTCTGAAAGAGCCACTACACATAGAAAGGAACAAACAGTATCAGCCTTTCTAAAAAATACCAAAAAGTAAAGCGCATCAGTATAATGAAGAATTTACATCAACTAATGGGCAAAACAGCCAGCTAATATTAAATGGCAGTATTAAACTCACATACATCATTATTAATTTTAAATTTAAATTGACTAAATCCCCTAATCCAAAAACAGATAGGCAATTTGGATTAAAAACTAAAACCCATTGGTATGCTGCATCCAGACCCATCTCACATGTAAGGATACACAAAGACTCAAAGGGGTGGAGAAAGATTTACCAACCAAACGGAGAGCAAAAATAAATAAAAAGCAGAAGTTAAAATTTTTGCCTCTGATAAAATAGTCGTTAAAGCAACAAGGATCAGGCCCAGCGCGGTGGCTCAAGCCTGTCATCCCAGCACTTTGGGAGGCCGAGGCGGGTGGATCACGAGGTCGAGAGATCGAGACCATCCTGGTCAACACGGTGAAACCCCATCTCTACTAAAAATACAAAAAATTAGCTGGGCATGGTGGCACGTGCCTGTAATCCCAGCTACTCAGGAGGCTGAGGCAGGAGAATTGCCTGAACCTGGGAGGTGGAGGTTGCGGCGAGCCGAGATCGCGTCATTGCACTCCAGCCTGGGTAACAAGAGCGAAACTCCGTCTCAAAAAAAAAAAAAGCTAAAGATCCTAAACGGCCGGGCGCAGTGGCTCAAGCCTGTAATCCCAGCACTTTGGGAGGCCGAGGCGGGTGGATCACGAGGTCAAGAGATCGAGACCATCCTGGTCAACATGGTGAAACCCCGTCTCTACTAAAAATACAAAAAATTAGCTGGGCATGGTGGCACATGCCTGTAATCCCAGCTACTCAGGAGGCTGAAGCAGGAGAATTGCCTGAGCCCGGGAGGCAGAGGTTGCGGTGAGCCGAGATCGCGCCATTGCACTCCAGCCTGGGTAACAAGAGCGAAACTCCGTCTCAAAAAAAAAAAAAAAAAAAAGATCCTAAACATATGCAGGAATACCCAGATATACAAGACTTATAAAGAGACTTAGGCTCCCACACAATAATAGTAGGTGACTTCATCGTTAATATTTGACAGATTAATGAGACAGAAAATTAACAACGATATCCAGGACTTGAACTCAGATCTGAAACAAGTAAACTTAATTAACATTTATAGACCTCTCTACTTTAAATGCACAAAATATACACTCTTATCAGTACCACATCATATCAACTTAGAAGTTTAAACGAAATATTGGTTGGCTCCTCGTTTGTTATTCTCTTCCCTCATTTTCTTTTATGTTTCCATTATTAAGCACAATTATAGGCATACCCATATTTAGACTGCATTTTAGCCCGGGCAATAAAGCAATACCCCCAATCTCTCTCCCTCTTCCTCTTTCTTCCTCTTCTTTATTCTTTTTCTTCTTATTTTTTTCTTTTTCTCTAAAAAAAAAAAAAAAAAAAGTGCATGTCTGAGAGTCCTCTTCCAGACACTGAGGCCAAGGAGATTTCTTCAGAGGGTCCTCAACAAGCTGTCTAAAGTCCTGAGGGAAGAGGCTCTGCTGATTGGAGATGGACAAAGGTCATTAGGGTTTTCAAAAAGGGGATGAATTACAGACCAATTGGCTTGATGTTCATGCCAAATAAATTCTACATCTGTTGAGTTCTAGACTATCTACGGAAAGTTCTAAAACATCTACTGGTGATTTTTCCCTTTTTAACTGAACCATTTGGTCCTTTGGAGTGATCCATTTAAAGTTATTTTCACCTATAATTTGGCAAAGACTCCCAGTGTCCTCCATTTCCATTTTCCCTTTCTTCCCCAGCAAATTACCTCTGAATTTTAACTGGACCAAAAAAAATACCAGGAAGGAAAGACCCTGTGAGTGGGGAGGGGCCTGAGGGTGAATCCCTGGCACAGCTCACCGTTTGAGTTGTACCCCAAGGCCTCCCAGGTGCGGGTGTGTGTCTGAGGCCTGGAGGTGGGGGCAGCCGTGCCCAGTAGGAAGAGAAACCACCTTCTGCCTCAAGCTGGCATCTCTGCATGCCGGCACCATGGCCTGTTTATGACTGCATTCATCCATTCTTTCTGATATTTCAGTAATGATCTGGGATGACTTGAAGAAGAAGACTGTTATTGAAATAGAATTTTCTACAGAAGTCAAGGCAGTCAAACTGCGGCGAGATAGGTAGGTTTGGTATCAGTAATTTTTTAAAGTAGAATTTCACTTTCTCTAGAGATGGCTGAGTTACTTTTCTATTTTTGGCAGAAAAATGTTTAGGAAATGACGTATTAAAATGTTGGCCCTGGTCTGGGTGCAGTGGCTCAAGCCTGTCATCCCAGCACTCTGGAGGCTGAGGCGGGTGGATCATGAGGTCAGGAGTTCGAGACCAGCCTGGCCAACATGGGGAAACCCTGTCTCTACTAAAAATACAAAATTAGCCGGGCATGGTTGTGCATGCCTGTAGTCCCAGCTACTTGGGAGGCTGAGGAGAATTGCTTGAACCCAGGAGGTGGAGGTTACAGTGAGCTGAGATCACACCACTGCACTCCAGCCTGGGCGACAGAGCGAGACTCCATTTCAAGAAAAAAAAAAAAAAAAAGCCTCTAGGATCTTCTGCTTTGAAACCTTTCTTATTTTCCCAGACAGAGTAGCATAAAAATATCACTTCTGCCGTGTTTTGCTCAGTTGTGAACCTAGATGGAATGTTTGATGATGTCCCTCTGAACCCAGCAAGGTCCCTTAGGCTGACCTCCCTCCATGTGCACCTACCTGCAGGTGCACTGTGACCTGTCCCCAGGGGGTTTCCTCAGGAACGATCCTTTTCTACGTGGTATTTCCGTGTTTCTGTTTCAGTACGGTAAGAGTAGGAGCATGAAATGTCTGGGTCTGACTTTTGAGGAATACAACTCTGATCATGTTTTTCTTTCCAGAATTGTGGTGGTTTTGGACTCCATGATTAAGGTGTTCACATTCACACACAATCCCCATCAGTTGCACGTGTTTGAAACCTGCTATAACCCCAAAGGTGAGAACTCGAGCAGATGGGTGGCCATGGGAAATGGGTCTGTGTGGAGATGCGGCCTATCCTGGGTGTTTCCTTCTCTGAGCGGGTCTCTGTCTGTCTGAGCAGCGGGCTTGGTGAGAGCAGTCCTGAGCCCAGCGGGGCCTCCAGGGGAGATGACTTGACAGGGCCCGCAGCTCACCATCCCAAAGCCACCTTCTGAACAGAGTCACAGAGTGGGGGCTCTCACTTGGGGGACTCCACCCCCTGATTTTGGCCACTACGGACCTCCACAGTGAACCAGGAACCTGTGTTTTCCCCACGTTAGGAGCCGCTGAGTTCTAGACTCAAGAATTTCCTTCCCTGGTCTTCTGAATTGGAGGATTGTTTGTTTCTGACTTTGTCATTGATTGTACCGTCTTTGTATCTTTTTAAATTTAGGGGTTTTGCCCTGGCTTTGTTGGGGTATAATTTACATAAAACTCACTCTAAGAATACCATTTGTGGCTGGGAGTGGGTGGCTCACTCCTGTAATCCCAGCACTTTGGGAAGCCAAGGTGGATAGATCTCGAGGTCAGGAGTTTGAGACCAGCCTGGTTAACATAGTGAAACTCCATCTCTACTAAAAATACAAAAAATTAGATGAACGTGGTAGCAGGTACCAATCCCAGCTACTCTGGAGGCTGAGGCAGGAGAATCACTTGAACCTGGGAGGTGGAGGTTACAGTGAGCTGAGATTGCGCCATTGTACTCCATCCTGGACAACAAAGCAAGAATTCGTCTCAAAAAAACAAAACAAAACCAAACCAACTGAGGTCAGTTGTGGTGGCTCACACCTGTAGTCCCAGCATTTTGGGAGGCCTAGGTGGGCGGATCACAATGTGGGGAGATTGAGACCATCCTGGCTAACATGGTGAAACCCCGTCTCTACTGAAAATACAAAAAATTAGCCTGTTGTGCTGGTTACTCAGGAGGCTGAGGCAGGAGAATCGCTTGAACCCAGGAGGCAGAGGTTGCAGCGAGCTGAGATTGCACCACTGCGTTCCAGCCTGGGCCACAGAGCTAGACTCCATCTCAAAAAAAGAGAAAACCCGGTCTCATATCCTGGAAAGTGATCTTGAGATCGTCCCCTCCCCACTCAGCTCGTTTTGTTTCTTTAGATAATGTTTGTCTTCTCTCCATGTGTGTGTCTCTGTGTGTGTGTGTGTGTGTGTGTGTGTGTGTCTCTGTGTGTGTCTGTGTGTGTGTCTGTGTCTCTGTGTGTGTGTCTCCATGTGTGTGTCTCCATGTGTGTGTCTCCGTGTGTGTCTCCATGTGTCTCCGTGTGTGTGTCTCCGTGTCTCTGTGTGTCTGTGTGTGTGTCTGTGTGTGTGTGTGTGTCTCTGTGTGTATCTCCGTGTGTGTGTCTCTGTGTGTCTGTGTGTCTCCGTGTGTGTCTGTGTGTCTGTGTGTGTCTCCGTGTGTCTCCGTGTGTGTGTCTCCGTGTGTCTCCATGTGTGTCTCTGTGTGTGTCTCCGTGTGTCTCCGTGTGTGTGTCTCCGTGTGTCTCTGTGTGTGTGTCTGTGTGTGTCTCTGTGTGTGTCTCTGTGTGTATCTCCGTGTGTGTGTCTGTGTGTCTCCGTGTGTGTCTGTGTGTCTGTGTGTGTCTCCGTGTGTGTCTCCATGTGTGTGTCTCTGTGTGTGTCTCCGTGTGTCTCCGTGTGTGTGTCTCTGTGTTTGTGTCTCCGTGTGTGTGTGTCTCCGTGTGTGTGTGTGGTTTTGCTCCTTGTTATTGGTAAGTCACGGCTGTTGGTCCCTTCGGCCGTGTTTTGGCTGGTATGAATAAGAAGTGCCGTGCGTGTGTTCTCATACTGGCGTTTGGATGGTTTTCACTTCTCTTCCGTTGATCCTGAGGGATTCAGCTGCCGGCTCCAGCCGTGGTTGTGCCTCCTGTGAAGTGCTACCATGTGTTTTCTAGAGTGGCTGTGTCCTCTTGCGTCTCACCTGTGGTTTATGAGTGTTCCGGCACTGTCAGTCTTTCTAGATGCGGCCGCCCGTGCGTGTGTGATGATGTCTCACTGGTAACGGCATCTCCTTGTGGTTTTAGTTTGCGTTTCTCTGAGGACTGGCGGTGCCGATGCCTTTCCTTGTGGTTCTTGCCTTTTGAGATCTTTTGGTAAATGCCCCAAATGTTTTGCCCATTTTTTAGCTGGTGGTTTATCTTATCCTGGGATGTAAGAATTCTCTTTTTTTGGAGATGGAATCTTGCTCTGTGGCCCAGACTGGAGTGCAGTGATGCATCTGGCGTGTGCTGTGTCCTGCACTGCATGAGGGTTCAAAGACTTAAGAGGGAACGGTGGGGGATAAAGAAAGGCACAGACACAGACATGGAGAAAGCTGGACCAGGTGGTCTGAGAGGTGAGGCTGTCAGTCTCTTTGGCCTCACCCTGTCTCAATGAACTTTACATGTTCACAAAGCATGTAGCAGAGGAAGGGTGCAGTTACTTAGGGCAGCCTGTGGTTGTTATTCTCATACTTCAGTTAACACACTTTAGCTAAAAACTATCTTGCAGCAAGGTTAGTGAAATCTGGTTATCTCTCTCTAAGCCCATCTCTGTTCTACCCCAAGACATACACATCCTCCTGTTACGGTTTTACTTTTCTGGAGTATCACCCAAAGGTCACAGCGGCCTTGCTGCTGATACCCCCAGGGGGGTGGGGGGCTACTCCAACTCCCTACAACTGGAACCTCTTGGGTTCAAGCGATTCTCCTGCCTCAGCCTCCTGAGTAGCTGGGATTACAGGTACCTGCCACCATGCCCAGCTAATTTTTGTATTTTTTAGTAGAGATGAGGTTTCATTATGTTGGCCAAGCTGGTCTCAAACTCTTGACCTCAGGTGATTCTACTGCCTCGGCCTCCCAAAGTGCTGGGATTGCAGGTGTGAGCCACTGCAACCTGGCCGTAGGAATTCGTTACATGTTGTAGATTTAGTCCTTTACTTGACATACTTCTGCAAATACTGGTTAAAAGATGTCTTTGATGTTTTCTTCTACACATTTAGTAGCTTTACCCCTAAAGTTAAGTCTTCGATCCATTTCAAGTAAATTTTATATTCAGTGTGAGGCACAAGCCTGGGTGGTTTTCTTTGTGGGCATCTAACCTTGGTACCTTTGTTTAGATTAAATAAAGATAAGTTTTGTTCTGGACTTTTTGTTCCATTGATCTGTGTTTATGTCCTTATGCCAATACCATCCTGCCTTGATGAGAAGTTTAAAGTAAATCTGAAGTTAGAAGTCTTCCAATCTCATTCTTATTTTTAAAAAAAATGTGGGCTATTCTAGTGCCTTTGTTTTTTCGTATAACTCTTAATATCAGTTGTCTTCAGGAATCTTGCTGAGATGTTAGCTGTGATCACACTGACTCTGTAGATGAGTTAGATATTTATAGGTGCCAGGCTGGAGTGCAGTGGCAGGATCTCGGCTCACTACATTCTCCACCTCCTGGGTTCAAGCAATTCTTCTGCCTCAGCCTCCTGAGTAGCTGGGATTACAGGCATGCACCACCACGCCCAGCTAATTTTTGTATTTTTAGTAGAGATGGGGTTTCACCAGGTTGGCCAGGATGGTCTTGATCTCTTGACCTCATGATCCACCCACCTCGGCCTCCCAAAGTGCTGGGATTACAGGCGTGAGCCACCCCGCCTGGCTGAAAAGTCTTTAAATTGACTTTGTGGTTCTGATGTAAATGAAAACCCATGTTTAATTCTTACTGCTATTTTTTCCGGAGAACTTGGGGGCAGAAAATGGATTTTGGCTGTGAGAAATCAAAGGCAGTTCCTGATAGGTGTCCTTTGTCTCCATGCAGGCCTCTGTGTCCTCTGTCCCAATAGTAACAACTCCCTTCTGGCCTTCCCCGGCACGCACACGGGCCACGTGCAGCTCGTGGACCTGGCCAGCACAGAGAAGCCACCCGTGGACATTCCCGCACACGAGGGCGTCCTGAGCTGCATCGCACTCAACCTGCAGGGAACAAGAATTGCAACTGCGTCTGAGAAAGTAAGTGTGCTCCTCACCTCATTGGTGTCGTGCCTCCGGGAGCAGCAGGCTCAGGAAACTGGCCATTCCCTGTATCAAGACCCAAAGGTGATGGGTCTACCCAGCCTGGAGCCCCTCAGGGGCCCGTGGACCTGGCTGGTCATGTCACAACGGGGTCGAGGTCTTCACAAGTTGTCTTGTGCCAAGGGACTGGTTTTATTTCCAATTGTTCACAAACAAACGTCTTGTAAAATATGATAAATTATTTGAAAAACCAAAACACAAGATGCCTGTAATCCCAGCACTAAGGCGGGCAGATCACTTGAGGTCAGGAATTCAAGAACAGCCTGGCCAACATGGTGAAATCCTGTCTCTACTAAAAATACAAAAATTAGCTCAGCGTGGTGGTGGTTTTCGCCTTTAATCCCAGCTACTCGGAGGGCTGAGGCAGGAGAATCACTTGAACCCAGGAGGTGGAGGTTGCAGTGAGCTGAGATCGTGCTGCCTCACTCCAGCCTGGGTGACGGAGCGAGACACTGTCTCAAAAACAAAAGGAAGAAAATACATACACGCCCGAGTTTCTTATCATTAGAATAATTGGATGTGAAAGCTTGATAGTGTTGTCACAGACATGGCAGAACCACAGCCTGATAACAGACAGCTGCAAACCCCTTTCACCTCCTAGGGTTCTGTCTTCATTGAATTGCCACCAGATTGTAACTGAAAATATGGAAATATTGGACACATTATCTTAATTTGCCAGATCAGAATAGTTGTTAATTTTTAAAAATAGTTTTAAATGTGGGGTTTTTAATACTTCCTTTTGCCTGAATTCAGATTTTTACAAAGAAAATTGGTGTCTTTGACTATAGTTTTCATGGAAGACTGCAAGCCCAGTGTTACTTTGTAGGAAATGGTCAACTGTGAAGTAGGGCGGGGCCGCAGGGCGGTGGTCGTGCACATTGTGGGCACCGTCTCCTGACACTTGGGGTGGGGGCTGCTCCAGCCCTTTTACCCGGTGCCAGTGCCAGGGCCACTTCTCCACATGCGGGGACAAGTGGCTTGGGGTGCACGTCCTGCTCACTCCTGGGACTCAGCTGAGAACAGGGTTAATTATTTTTTAGGTAATATATTTTACAATGCTATTGTATTAGCAACAAAATAGATCTAATTTTGTATGGATTATAAATACGGTTCCTCCCTATTTTTGTACATTTTTTTCTTACATTTTTTTCTTTTTGCCTTTGCGTTCTCCTCCTCCGCCTCCCTGTGGCTTTTTCTTCTTTAGTAGAATCCCTGTTAGGAGCGTGGATCATGGCGTGCTTCTCCGCCTCCTGCCTTCTGAGCTCAGCAGTGCCCTCCGGGATAACTGGGTGCACGGGATTACCTGGAGCCTTGCAGTATCTGTGACCCGTCCCACACTGTTGGTGGTCACCCCGTGAGGCTGCTCCCGCCTTGACCCCCACAAGCTGGGCTCCCTGCTGCACTCCCAGGAGTAGGCTGCTGGGTTGAAGGACGTAGAGATTTTCGTCGGATGTTGTCAAAGTGTGTTCCACCAAAGATGCGACAGTGTTCATTTTCCCAGCTGTCAGAATCAGCTGGAGAGTCCTCCACTTTCTGGAGGAAATGTTGAAAACACCCCGATGAGGTCTTGGGCTCCTCTCTCAGGAAAGCCAGTGTAGTTGACATAAATGGTTTTAAGTCCTTTATTTTCTTTTGCCTTACCTTTTTGACGGCAGGATTCCTGTGCTGCTTTTTCTAGCTGTCTGAAGGAGTTAGGGTTCGGAGGATGCTTCTCTCGTCGAGGGCCATGTGTGGTGGGAGCAGGGAGCCTGGGTGTTCCTCCTGGGTGTCAGCCAGGGATGCCAGCGTCCAGAGTCAGTCCGTGCTGCCTGGCCAGGAGCTTGTCTCCTGAAGCCTCTCTTGACTTGTGCCCAGTGCTGTGGGAGCAGGAGCTGCCGGCCGACTCGTTCTCAGGGGCTCACTGTGTACTGGCATTTGGAGGAGAAAGTTAGTCTTAGATGATGTGGGTGAGTTTGAGAAAGGCTTGTGTGGGCTAATGGGTTTGTGAATGTAAATCATTTCAAAAACTAACAAACAAGTTTCAAATCTTTGATAATGAAACACTTCACTGTTTTTCAAAGGGGACCCTTATAAGAATATTTGATACTTCATCAGGGCATTTAATCCAGGAACTGCGAAGAGGATCTCAAGCAGCCAATATTTACTGGTAAGGGCACCCCCACCTTCACCTGGAGAAGAGCTTTGGGCAGACAGCACGGAACTGGGCCTTTGGGACTTGGGAGAGCGGGTAGGAGCAGCCACCCTCTACCCCGTAAGATCAGAGGAGGAAGGCTGTGTCGGGCTGCTCGGGGCTTCAGTTCCAGCTTTTGAAATTGTGACTAATTTTAAGTTTTTATCATGGGAAATTACACAAAAGTAGAATATTTTAATTAACCCTGCTTCCGTGTTTATCAGTATCAGTATTTGCTGGTTTCTATTGTTTTTTTGTTTTGTTTTGAGTTGTTGTTTTTTTGAGTCAAGGTCTCGCTCTGCCGCCCAGGCTGGGGTACAGTGTCATTATCATGGCTCACTACAGCCTCGACCTCCTGAGTAGCTGGAACCACATTTGTGCACCAGCTCGCCTGGCTGATTGTTATGTTTTTGTAGAGAGGGGTCTCACGCTGCCCTGGCTGGCAGGCTCGGGTTCATCCCTGTTTATTTTTCATCTTTCTGGTGTTTTTACCAGTTTCACCTCTTGGCCAGCACTCTGGCTTGTGTTTAAGGAAGTGCTGGAGACTGTTGGTTCGTCTGCTTCTAGCCTGTTACAGTCTGAGAGGCCACACTGCCACCCCACGGTGGTGTCCCTACAGCCTCTGGGGGGTCTAGTGCTGAAGCCCTGCTTGGGCAGGGTCTCACACCCTGTGGCCACGGCCAGGAGGCCTGGTTTCTCTCCATTCCCTCGTATTGAGCAGCATTTGGATCTTTGGGATGAAACTGTAATTCATTTGTAAATACAGTGGCTTTACCTGTGAGGTCCTAGGCCTTGTGGTGTGCAAAGCACACCCTTGTCTGCTCCCAGAACAGACAGCACATGGCCAGTGCCTGCCCCAGCCCAGGTGACCTCCACAGGAGCAGCCTGTACCTCCTGGGGCCAGGATCGTTGGAGAGAATGTGTTTCTCACCCGAGTCTCGTGAGAGCAGCCCTGAGCAGCATGTGGGGGGCGGTCTGCAGGATGCCCCTTCTCCCAGGCACACAGCTCGTCAGCTGCATTTGGGGGGCCCGTGGCTCACAGGATTGTGCTTTGTGGCTTCGACCTGTGGTGCTGTGGGGATGGTTGTTGGCTTGTTGAAGAAAGGGCAGTATTCAAGGTTGGCGCCTCGGGTGTGGGAACCTTGAGGTCTTCCTGGGTGCTGACAGGTGCTGTGGGCCGAGCCTCTGGACTCCTCCGCGTCCACTCAAGGCCTGAGCTGTGCTGCTTTTCTCTGTAGCATTAACTTCAATCAGGATGCGTCCCTCATCTGCGTATCCAGCGACCACGGCACAGTGCATATTTTTGCAGCTGAAGATCCAAAAAGGAATAAACAGTCCAGGTAGGTGTTGGGACACCTGCTGGGGGGAAAAGCCCAAGGATGAAAGGAGTCCCTGTTGTTTCAGTGCGGACAGGACAGACCTCCCCATGCCAGCAGGGCAGTGTGTACAGACGCCCCACGTCAGCAGGGAGGTGTGGATAGACCTCACGTGCTATCAGTGTTGAAGTCTTTTTCATCTAACTTGGTATTTATTGAGGTTCGAAAATCAGTGCAGGCTGGCCGTAGTGGCTTACACCTGTAATCCCAGCACTTTGGGTGGCCGAGGTGGGCGGATCACCTGAGGTCAGGACTTTGAGACCAGCCTGGCCAGCATGTTGAAACCCTGTTTCTATTAAAATACAAAAAATTGGCTGAGCATGGTGGCGGGCGCCTATAGTCCCAGCTACTCAGGAGACTGAGGCAGGAGAGTCACTTGAACCCAGGAGGTGGGGGTTGCAGTGAGCCGAGATCACACTGCTGCACTCCAGCCTGGGTGACAGAGCAAGACTCCGTCTCAAAAAAAAAAAAAAAGATTAAAAGCAAAAATAGAATTTAAAAATAAAGTCTTATAACAGGTTTTGTTATGCATAGCAAAAAAAAAAAGTCATTAAAGCTAAAACTATATTAAAGAACATTTTAGTATTTTCAGCAGCATTCTCAGTTCGAGCAGGTGACTTTCTGTAAACTGTCTGAGGATGCAGTCACCTTTCCTTGCTGCTTTGTCTTCACAGTTTGGCCTCAGCGAGCTTCCTCCCGAAATACTTCAGCTCCAAGTGGAGCTTCTCCAAGTTTCAGGTTCCCTCGGGCTCTCCGTGCATTTGTGCCTTTGGAACAGAGCCAAATGCCGTCATTGGTGAGTGGTCCTTCCTGGAGGGCACGTCCCCACCCACTCCACCTGGGATCCGGCCACTGAGCTTCTGACCCAGCTTCCCACAGACATCCCAGCACCGCGCTGTGGCACCCATGACCACCCACTTTCCCTTACTTCTCCTGGGGGATCAGTGTGTCCTGCTTACGGTCTACAGGGCCATTTGGGACGTCAGCCCCCCTCCCTGCAGTTTCCCCAGGAAGTCACTGGGACAGGGCTTCTAATGTTTGTACAGACAACCAAAGAATGCTTGTTACCCCGTAGCCAGCACTAGGACATGAGTTGTTCACCCAAGACAGTCAGGGCTCCCGGCTGCATGTGCCACGTGCTCTCAGTGCAGAGCTGGGGCCTTTGGGGCTTTGAGAGCAGCTGCTTGGCTCTGAGAGACGCTTTGCAGTTCAGCTCCGTGGGACTCTTTGCTTTTAACTTTGGGGGAAAGAAACACACGGGTAAAGCTGTCTCCTTCTGTCCCAGCGATTTGTGCGGACGGCAGCTACTACAAATTCCTGTTCAACCCCAAGGGGGAGTGCATCCGAGACGTCTACGCGCAGTTTCTAGAAATGACCGATGACAAGCTGTGACTCCCGGCCGGGAGCGCCACAGCACCCACCGCCTGTCCCCTTCAGGCTCTCGGGGCTGGTGCCAGTGCCCCAGGGGCCTCCTGGGCCACGGGCTGGAGGGGCTGCCCAGGGACTTGGTCTTGAAGCCATACGTGGTTGTCTGCTTTCCTGAGGACTCCCATTTCCAGTATTAAAGAGAGAATCATCATCAAGGCACCGTAGGTACTCAGTGGCTGTTCCCATGAGTTCAGCTGTGACGTCGCTTCAGCAGCTCCACTGCATCCTCACCTGGCGGGGGCTCCACACAGACCTGGGGACTGGGCTGAGGGTGGACACGGTCAAGTGTGTTTTTGCAACAGATTCCATCATCCTGAGTCTGCTGTGGCGAAGTGAACAAGTGTGTAAATGTAAGTTCTTACATTATCAGCAGATTTAAATAGAACACCAGCAGCTTGCCTTAGAAAAGGAGAATTCCTTCTCCCGTCGGACATGAAGAAAAATGACTTGTAGCGAGAACAGAGTGTGAATGTTTCCCTCGTGTGAGCCCAGCCCGTGGTTTTCTCCCTGCCCACAGCGTGGTCATCTGTGGCTGTGTGTGGCGTCCCCGTCTCTGTTGGCGCCATTAGAACAAGACAAACACCAGGCTCGCCCTAGAAGCCGAGCAGTCAGTCCTGGGGCGCGTGTGGGATGGGGACTCTGCAGGGTGTCCTGGTTACATTCTGGGTGAAATCCCAGTTTCCCAGTTTCGTGTAGGGAACAGTGATGCACAGACTTTGAACATTCATTACGGGGGAAAGCATCCTTGACTTCGGGTCGTCTGCCAGAGCAGGGTCCGGGGGCGCCCACTGCACTTCCCGCTGCTGTGGTCTGCTCTCTCAGCCCCACCTTCTCCCTTCCCCTCATTTATAAGAATAGTCACACACTAACATTTTGGGAAGGAAAGGCAGACCTTCTTTTTAACATCTGGTAACTAAAACAGGTTATGGGCTTTACATTGTCTGCTACTTGGGGTATATATTTACTTTTCTTAAATTCCCTTTAAAGAAACTTTATTTTACGGTTTTGATTTCAGATTGCAAACATATAAAACCTGCACAGCAGCAAGTTCTCGGTTTTGCTGGTTGCTTTACCGTTACTGTCATGTAATCAACTAACTGTGTATGTGGATTTTGATGTAAAGTATGCATGTTACTTTTATGTGTATTTAATCATGAAGTTTAATTTTGCACACTTATTTGTAATGTTTCTTTTAAATAAAAGTGACTAATTTTGTTGTACTCTGGACCTGTCACGGGAAGTGGAGTCAGATGTATGACGCAGCCACACAGTCATCTTGTTTTGAGAATCGTTTTGGACCGGAGGCTTCAGAACAGCCTGTGGGGCAGGACAAGGTGGAAGCCAGGGCCGCTGCGGGCCGAGCCTGGGGATCAGGGATGGCGCTTCTGGAGGAGGGAAGGAGGAGGTGTGTCTGCGGCAGCCGCGTGTGGCTCTGGGAGCCTGCAGAGTGGAGAGTGACTGATGGCGGCAGTGGCAGATCCGTGCTCGTGATGCCGCCGCCGCTGCTGTGTGCTGGGGTCCCTGCTGAGCCGGGGTCACCTTTGACTTGGCTCTGCGTGGGGGAGCAGAAGTTCCCGCACGGTTGTGCGGTTACCGATTTGTAACGCTAGACTGGGTGAAGTGCGAGAGAGGCGAGTTTCCTCGGTGCACGTGAGCGTCCTCAGAACTGATGTGCAGGCCGGGCGGGGCAGTCACAGCTGCTGTCGCAGGCCCGTTCGTTAGGAACGCGGTGCGGGCCCGCAAGTGAGGCCCTGGCACCACGGCCCCTCCCCAGGTGTGTGCTTCTGTGAAGTCACCGCAGAGCGGGAAGGACCCGGGGTCTCCGGCGCTGGGGACTGTCGGGGAGCAGCAGGCTGCTTTTCTGTTGGAGCTCATGGGAAGCGGGGTGGATGGGAAACCAGGCCAGGCTGCCGCTTCTCCCGCGAGCCTCCTGTGCGCAGGACACGGGGGTGAAGCCTGCAGAAGCCCCTGCCGGGCGGCTTGTTTTTCCAGCCGCTGCCGCAGACGGCGCCCGCTCAGCAGCTCGCCCGGCTGATGATACAGGTGCGTGGGCCTGGCTCATTCCGGCTGCGTGTCGGGTCCGCCTGCCCTCCCCACGGCCCTGGGATGCCTGTGGGGACCCGGCCCCCAGCCAGCAGCCAGCCTGGGTTTGACGGTGACGCCTGTGTGAACCCCGGGCCCTTCCCCGCGGCCACCACTGCAGTCGGGGCGCTGTTTTCTTCCTGTTTGCCAGAGACCTGTCACGCGACTCAGCCCTCCTCTCTCTCCTGCTGTGTCGGGCATTGGGTTGGTTACATTTTCTAAACTTGCACCAAAATTTTTCTCTTCCAGATGGATCGGAAAATACAGTGAAAAAACATTGCTCGTGCAGAGAAGCAAATAAACAATTTTAAAAAATAAGCAGAAATAATATATTCCTTGTAAAATAAAGAACATATAGAAAAATATAAAGTTGTAAGCAAGAGTGCCCTGTGTTTCCACGTCCAGAGAAGGTCACTCTTGGACAGCCCCACGCCTGAATGTAAAACTTACTTTTACTTAAAAGTTTTTTGGGGTGGGGATGGGGTTTCTCCTCTGCCTCCTGGACTCAAGCGATCCTCCTTCCTCGGCCTGCCATGCGCCACCACGCCTGGCTAATTCTTGTCTTTTTAGTAGATACGGGGTTTCTCCATGTTGGTCAGGCTGTTCTCAACTCCCGACCTCAGGTGATCTGCCTGCCTCATCCATTCTCCCAGAGTGCTGGGATTACAGGCGTGAGCCACCACACCCGGCCTGTGTGTTTATTTATAAGGGATTCTGATTTGTAATTTTACTTTCTTTTAGTCTCCTTGCCGCATTATGGAATTACGGATCAGGTTAGTAATTTTGTGGTTTTGGCATTCATTTTAAAATGATTTGTCTTACGCAACATCCACCAAAATGGAGACATACAATGTGTTTTAACAAAAGCAAACGTAGCCTTGAGATTGAGGCGGCAAGTAGTGAAATGTGATTTCTTTTATAGCTCTGTTCAAGAGAAACGCCACCGTCCATAGAGGCCGTGAATCTTCCGGCGTCTGCCCTGAACCTCCTGCAGACACCTGCAGCGCCACCCTGAACTGTCCGTGCTGGCTGCCAGCCAGGCAGAGTCCTGCCATCTGTGTAAGACGCTGCAGACGGTGAGTCTGATGCTTCTGGGCTGTGTGGCGACGACTTCTTATCTCCGAGTCCCTCATAGGCACATGGGAAAAAGTGGTTGAGGAGCTGGCCAGATACTGCAGAGGAGGGTGACCTTCTTAGCAGATGTGTGACTCCGGAAAATGGCAGCACTTTTCTACCTCGATGTCAGTACTTGCACGGGGCTGAACTTCACGCCGCACGTCATTCACCGTCAGCAGCTCGTACTGACAGCTGCCTGCCCTTTCCTCTTGCCCTCGCCCAGGCCGGAGTGCAGTGGCGCAGTATCAGCTCACGGCACCCTCTGTCTCCTGGGCTCAGTGACCCTCCGACCTCAGCTTCCCACGTAGCTGGGACCAAAGGCAGGTGCCACCACGCACAGCTCGTGTTTTTGTAGAGATGGTGTCTCTCCATGTTCTCCAGGCTGGTCTTCTCCTCCTGGCCCAAAGCAGTCCTCCTGCCTCAGCCTCCCAAAATGTTGGGATTGCAGGCGTGAGCCACCGTGTGCAGCCACGCTTTCATCATTTTTCTTCGTTTGGCTCTGTCTCCCAGGCTGGAGTGCAATCAAGGCTCGCTGCGGCCTCCACCTCCGGGCTCAGGTGATCCTTCTACTTCAATTTCCCTAACAGCGAGGACCGTAGGCATGCACCAACAGGCCTGGCTAATTTCTTCATGTTTGTTTCTTTGAGACAGAGTCTCTCGCTCTGTCTCCCAGGCTGGAGTACAGTGGCTCAACCTTGGCTCACCGCAACCTCTGCCTCCTGGGTTCAAGCGATTCTCCTGCCTCCACCTCTCAAGTAGCTGGGACTACAGGTGGGCACCACCACACCTGGCTCATTTTTTGTATTTTTAGTAGAGATGGGGTTTCACCATGTTGGCCAGCATGGTCTCGAACTCCTGAGCTCAGGCAATCCACCTGCCTCAGCCTCCCAGAGTTCTGGGATGACAGGTGTGAGCCCCTGCACTTGGGCTTTCTGGCTGATCTTTAATTTTGTTTTAGAGATGGGGGTCTCCCTTTGTTGCCCTGCTTGGTCTCAAACTCCTGGATGGAAGCGGTCCTCCTGCCTTGCCCTCCCAGAGTGTTGGGTGACATGTGTGAACCGCCATGCCTGGCCTTCACTTCCTTTTTGATTGTTTATTGCTGGTGCCTGTGAATACGGCGTGTTTTTACCTTGACCTTGTACACTGCAGCACTGCTGAATTCGTTGGTCAGCGCTCGTGGTTTGAAAGTGTGTGTGTGTTTCTGTGGAAGTTTCTGTCCGCGCTCATTCCATCTGCAGGGAGGTCACCCCTTCGAGGCAGATGCCTGCCTCTCTTTTCTTGCCCGATGGCTCTGGCTGACTGTACGAAAACTCCTGACCTCAGGTGATCTGCCTGCCTCAGATCCTGGTGTCCTGTTCCTGATCGTAAAGGAAAAGCTTCACTGAATGTGTGCACTTAGCTCTGGGCCTCTGCATTTTTCCTGCTGGGATTTCATCAAGCCTATTGGAAGTGTAGATTCGTCTTTATCGAATCAGGGAAGTTTTCAGTGACTGCTCAGGTGTTTCGTCTTCCCCTTTCTCTGCTTCGGGGAGTTCTCCTAAGGCCTGTTTGGGAGGTTGGTGGTCCTGTAGGTCCCTGCCTCTTTACTCCTTGCCCATTTTTCTTTTCTGTCTGTTGCTTAGACGGGGTCATTTAATTGACCCTACCTTCAAGTTCATGGCTGCTTTCTGATGCCTGCTGAAATCTGCTGTTAAATACCTCTAGCGAATTTCTTATTTTAGCTATTTTGCTTTTCAGCCCTAGATTTTGTTTAGTTTCTTTTTATAATTTCTATTTTCTGTTCTTTCAACTTTTTCATACACTATTCGTATTTCTTTCTTTTTGGGGCGGGGGAGGGACAGCGTCCTGCTCTGTTGCTCAGGCTAAATTGCAGTGGTGTGATCACGGTGAACCGAAGCCTTAACTTCCCACGTTCAGGCGGTCTCCCACCTGAACCTTTGGAGGAGCTGGGACCCAGGCACGTGCTAGCTCACTGTTTTTTTGAGACAGAGTCCCACTGTGTTGCCCAGCCTGGCCGCGAGCTCTTGGGCTGAAGCTGTCCCCACTGTGGTCTCCCAAAGTGCTGAGACTGTAGGCCTGAGCCACCACACCTGGCTTGCCTTAGTTCTTTGTCCCTGGTTCCCTTCAGCTCGAGCGTACTTAAGACAATTGTTTCTCCAGTACAACTTCCCGGCTTCCTCAAGGGTGGCTTCTGTCAACCTGTCCCCTGCCCCAGCCTCATGAATGGCTCATGGTTTCCTGTTTCTGTTTTATTTTTTGAGTTAGAGTCTCACTGTTGCCAGCCAGGTTGGAGTGCAATGGTGAGGTCTCTGCTCACGGCAACCTCTGCCTCCCGGGTTCAAGCGATTCTCCTGCCTCAGCCTCCTGAGTAGCTGGGATCACAGGTGCCTGCTACCGCACCCGGCTAGTTTTTGTATTTTTAGTAGAGACGGGGTTTCTCCGTGTTGGCCAGGCTGGTCTCGAACTCCTGACCTCAGTGATCCACCCACCTTGGTGCTGGGATTACAGGCGTGAGCCACTGGGCCCAACCTAAAATATTTCTTTTAAAAAAAAGTTTACACACCTTATTCCATTCTCTAGGAATCGAGTGACGTACACATGGGACTGTTTGATCTTGTCCTGCAAGTCCCAGTTCATTTTTGTTTCCCAGTGTTTCCCTGTTTGCTGAATTTTTTCATTTGTTTGGTTCATTTCGAGAGCATCTGCCCTTATTTCAGAGCATGGCTATGACTGTTCTTCATCTGACACTTCCAGTGTCTGGGTCATGTGAGAGTTGGCAGGCGGTCTTTCCCTTGAGGGCTGAGAGTTTTCTGGCTCTTTCTATGTTGAGTAATTTTGTGCCCTGGGCATTGGGCGTACCTTGAGACTAACCAAGGCCTATGAAATCCTCTGCAGAATGCTGAGTTTTGTCTCGGCAGGCAGGTAACCGGTTCTGTTCTGACTGCAGGAGCCAGCATCCTCCTCCGCTGTGGTTCCGCACGCCTGGTTTCCCGTCTGCGTTTTGCCATAAAGGCCTGCACCTGGCGTCACCAGCCAGGGGCCAGTCTGCACGAGAGTTCAGTTCCCAGGGCCTTTGCTGTCTCCACCCCGCCCCCATCCCCATGCCGTTCCTGGGAGCGCGAGGGGCCCTCCAGCTCCTGTGCTGTGTCCTTAGACTGAGAGGCCCAGGCTTTAGCCTCTCTGCTGTTGCCAGCCTGGGGCCAAGGTGGGACAGGGATTTCCCTCATGCTGTTTGCACTGCAGGTGCCCCGTTCTCCAGTTGCCGTCAGAGTGAAGGGTTCTGTTGTGGGGAGTCGGTGTCTTCAGGAGGTTCCCGAGACTGTCTCTGCCCGGGATGCAGAAGGGGGCGTGTCTGCCCATGATGAGGGGGAAGGGGGCGTGTCTGCCCGGGATGGGGGGGGTGTCTGTCGGGATGGGGGGGCGTGTCTGCCCATGATGAGGGGGAAGGGGCGTGTCTGCCCGGGATGGGGGGGGTGTCTGTCGGGATGGGGGGGCGTGTCTGCCCATGATGAGGGGGAAGGGGCGTGTCTGCTCGGGATGAGGGGGAGGGGGGCGTGTCAGGATGGGGGGAAGGGGGCGTGTCTTTCATGATGGGGCGGCATGTCTGCCCTGGATGCAGAAGGGGGCGTGTCTTCCCGGGATTGGGGGGGCGTGTCAGGATGGGGGGAAGGGGGCATGTCTGTTGTGATGGGGGGGCGTGTCTGCCCATGATGAGGGGGGGCGTGTCTGCCCGGGATGCAGAAGGGGGCGTGTCTTCCCGGGATTGGGGGGGCGTGTCAGGATGGGGGAAGGGGGCGTGTCTGTCGGGATGAGGGGGTAGGGGGCGTGTCTGCCCGGGATGAGGGGGAAGGGGGCGTGTCTGCTCATGAGGGGGAAGGGGGCGTGTCTGTCGGGATGAGGGGGAAGGGGGCGTGTCTGTCGGGATGAGGGGGAAGGGGGCGTGTCTGTCGGGATGAGGGGGAAGGGGGCGTGTCTGCTCATGATGAGGGGGAAGGGGGCGTGTCTGTCGGGATGAGGGGGAAGGGGGCGTGTCTGCTCATGATGGGGGGGGGGCGTGTCTGCCCGGGATGCGGGGGGGGGGGTGTCTGTCGGGATGAGGGGAAAGGGGGTGTGTCTGTCGGGATGGGGGCGTGTCTGTCGGGATGAGGGGGATGGGGGCGTGTCTGCCGGGATGAGGGGGAAGGGGGCGTGTCTGTCGGGATGAGGGGGAAGGGGTGTGTCTGTCGGGATGAGGGGGAAGGGGGCGTGTCTGTCGGGGTGAGGGGGAAGGGGGCGTGTCTGCTCATGATGGGGGGGGCGTGTCTGCCCGGGATGCGGGGGGGGGGGCGTGTCTGTCGGGATGAGGGGAAAGGGGGCGTGTCTGTCGGGATGAGGGGGAAGGGTGCGTGTCTGTCGGGATGAGGGGGAAGGGGGGCGTGTCTGTCGGGATGAGGGGGAAGGGGGCGTGTCTGTCGGGATGAGGGGGAAGGGGGCGTGTCTGCCCGGGATGCGGGGGGGGGGGCGTGTCTGTCGGGATGAGGGGAAGGGGGCGTGTCTGTCGGGATGAGGGGGAAGGGGGGCGTGTCTGTCGGGATGAGGGGGAAGGGGGCGTGTCTGCCCGGGATGCGGGGGGGGGGGGGCGTGTCTGTCGGGATGAGGGGGAAGGGTGCGTGTCTGTCGGGATGAGGGGGAAGGGGGGCGTGTCTGTCGGGATGAGGGGGAAGGGGGCGTGTCTGTCGGGGTGAGGGGGAAGGGGGCGTGTCTGTCGGGATGAGGGGGAAGGGGGCGTGTCTGTCGGGATGAGGGGGAAGGGGGCGTGTCTGTCGGGATGAGGGGGAAGGGGCGTCTCGGACATCTTAACGTTCATCCCTAGTGCGCAGTTCTGAGCCACTGTCCAAGACTAGACCCAGCCAGGGACGCCCTGCCGGGTTAGGGTCTGGCCTCTGACGTTCCTAGGACTGAGGTCGTCGATCTGTCTGTGGGGTCCGCAGTCGCTCGTCGTGGACCCCACTGGGACCCGCTACGGGATGTCTCTAAAAGCAGCACCTCTGCAGCCGGACGTCAGAGGTCACCCGAGACCCACCTTGCGTTCTGCATGTTTCGTGGATGCGGGCCCAGCCCAGGGCGCGAGGACGGGCCCGGCCGACGGTGCGGGCGCCGAGCTGCTCCGCAGAGGGACCGCCTCGCAGGGCGCGTGACGGCAGCTCCGGTCCGGGGACCGGCGCAGGGACGCGGCGCTCCGGGACGGCCTCTGTCGGTGAACAGGAAATCTGGGGTCCGTGTAGCTCCTCGGGGGGCCTCTGTGCGGTTCTGCTGCGCTCGATTTCGTCCCTGCCGCGCCGCAGTGAGCAGCGAGCGTCTTCACGATTCCAGACGCGGCCGTCCACACCGGCCCGAGGCGCAGAAGGGCCGGCAACACCCGAGCTGCTTTCTCATCTCGGGAGAACAGGTTTCTCCAGGGGCCGGGCGGTCCTGTCCGTCCTCGGCTTGAAGAGAGCGCGCGCAGACGAAGCAGCGACAGCACCTCGGAGCACCTGAAACTCCGGCGTCACGGACGCCGCGGACGCCACTGCCCGTGACCGCCGCCTTTCCTGCGGGCGCCCACGGAACGTGCCGGCCTGCAGCGTGCTCGGAGGAGAGCATCAAGTGGAACGGAGTCTATCAGGAGGGAAATGATACTCTGCATTCAGTTAAAATTAATAAAAATACTTTATTGAATTTCAGGAACTTGGTACTTTTTAAAAATTTCAAACCTTTGCACACAAACCACCACTGTGCCTTCTGGAATAGCGGCGTTAGGACCTGACGATTGTCACTCATCTCCTGCGTCACGGCACAGAAATCCCAAGTCCCGAGGCCGCCCTCCCCCCCGTCGGGCCGTGCCTGCCAACTGCTCTGTTACTGCAGCCGAGGACAAGGACGGGCGTGGGGAGGAGGCTGGAGGAGCCCCGCTGTCCACAGGCGCACCCCGCTGTCCACAGGCGCACCCCGCTGTCCACAGGCGCACCCCACTGCAGGAGAGGCGGGCAAGCCGGGGATTGCGCCACGTGCACGCAGCGCGCCACGGACCGCGGGCCACACGTGAGTCCCCGTGGGTTTCGCGTTTGGTTCAGGGCAAAGCTACTGAAACTCAGTCTAGTCCCTGAGGAGCTCAGAAGTTTGGCAAAGGTCAAAGCAGAGACTTCCTGGAAATAAGACACGGAGGAACACAGCGGAGAGCTGGGAGTTCGCAGCGACGCAGCCGAGGGCGCCGCAGTCCCGGCCCCGGGGCTGGAGCCGGCAGCCGGGTTCCTGGGGATTCGGAGCTCAGCGTGTGAAGACGGTGCCGAGGCCGGCACGGCGACCTGCGTGTGGGAGCCTGCTAACCTGGTCTTCCTCGCCTTGATCCTAAATCCCACGTACCCGTGAAAAAGCCGCGAACATAGGCGTGAGGAGGAGACGGGAGCGCGCAGGCTCCCACCCGCGAGGCACACGAGTCGGCCTGCAGCAGCCAAGAACACTCACACTGAGAGTGGGGCCTTCCCCTTACCTGTGATCCCAGCAGATCCGGATCGACCTGGAAGGGCCACCCGCTCCCGGACCGAGCCTTCGCCGGGAAAATCCACCCGACTCCACATCCAGCAGAACAGACGCCGCCTCCGCCTGGGGCCGTGTCCAGGCCGCGCTCCCACCGGCGACCTTGCTCGAGAGCCGGACCCCTGCGGAGGGACCCGACCCCACGGGACGCAGCAGAGCCCTAGCTGTCCCACAGACTGCGAGCCCTCGGAGTAGGACGACAAGCACACATTCCAAGGTACTGTCTGTAAGGTGCTGGGAAGGGGCCGCGCCCGCCGCGCTCACACACACGGTCTCAGCCAAGTGAAGCTTCCGTTTTTATTTCCGAAACGGCCGAGTTATAATCCGGCTAGTGTGCGGGAATTTCACCCACCGTGCGTCACGGCGGTGACGCCACCGCAGCCCCACGCCGAGGGCCACACACAATTCACCCAACAGATTCATCATATTTGGTCTTTACGTAAATAATAGTTTTTAAATTGCCTAAATATACCATTCTGAGCCTTTCATCCCACCAGGAAAATAGTTTTCCTCTCTAAAAAAAAATTAAATACCAAAATAACTACATTTAAATAAATAACGTTACGATGGTGACATTAAAAAGCTCCGCACCAGGCCGCCGCCCCTGCTCCAAGGGCCCTGCTCGGCCCTCAGCCGGCACGGCACCCTCGCTCGCTCGGGACAGGGGAGCCGGGCCAGGGGCGCGGGACCTCCCACCCATTCCTCCACCCGCCCTTTGCATCTTCTGCAGGGAAGTCAGCCTCAGGCCTGGCCTCGGCTCTGAAAGGTCAGGACGTTTCCTGCCGAACATCAGGAAATGCCCAGACGTCCTGCTCCGCCGTGGACGGGCTGGAGGGCGCCCAGAGCTGGGAGGGCGTCCGAGACACAAACATACCGCGAGAGACTTGGGATCTGCGTTTCAAAAGGGCCTGTGATAAAAGACTGAATCTTTTCTTTCCAATGAAGTAGCAACGGTTCTGTCGTTTTAAACATACACAATACTTAGGAGACTTGTTTTACTTAGAGTGGAAAATTTTGCCAGGGACAGAGTCAACACAAAGAAACAACAAAAAATCGCCAAAAGAGATCAGTTAAGTGCAGCTCGGTGAGTCCCGGCAGCTCCTTCCCGGCACCAGCTCGCCCCTGGGCTCTCAGGGTTCCACGTGGCCACAGCGCCCGTCCACCTGTCCACGCGAGCCACATGCTGAAATGGAGGTGGATGAAATGCATCAGGCAGCTGCTGCAACATGGAAACGCGCAGGTGCCGCAGAGTAGCTTCATCTGAGCTTCAACAAGACAGACAACAGGAAATCATTCCATAGGCTGAAAACAAAAAACGTCTCTTTTCCCCAAATGAAATCCACTGAAAGGTCCTGTGTGATTCCAAAAGTCTGAGTAGAAATGGAGTGATGTGAAATGCCCGAGACCCCATGATTCTGTAAAGAAAGTACACCTCCGAACACTCTAACTGCACACGGGAGCAACAGAACGCGGCCTGGCCTCCGCCGCCTGGTGGGGCCTGTGAGGGCGGTGGGGAGGGCTCCCCCCACCGCCGTCCCGAGGGCCTAGGACCGACTGCGCCGTGCCCACACGCGATGCCTGCTCCTCTGGGAGGGCCGAGTTTCACTCGTAGGTACTAGAGATGAGCCCGAAGGCAACGGCCCAGCAGGTGCTCAGCGGGGGAGACGCTGTCTCCAAAATCAGGTTTTCCTGTGTGTGGTTTTTGTTCAAGTGTGACTTCTGTCTTTAAATTAAGGAGTTTTAAGGCCACCTGGGTTTTGTGTTTTCAGTGCTGAGAGGTGAAGTCCAACCACAGGGCCCTGCACCCACCGAGAGCTGGCGGGAGGCGACGTCTCCTTTTGGCACCACAAAGTTGATACTGCTGAAGAAAAGCTCCTGGTCGCTAGTTCTGGACGCCCTTTTCCCTCGCGGCTGCCGGTGGCGGGTCCACACTCAGGGCAATGACGATGCTCTCGCCGTCTTCCGTCTTGATCCGCTTCAGCTCCGGCTGTTCCGGCTGGTCACCGTTCTGGCGCTTCGTGGGCAGGGAGGCTGATGCGGACGCATGCGTCGCCAGCAGGTGCAAAGGACTCGCCGCTGCTGAAGAGACAGGTGGGAGTCAGATGAACCTCAGATGAACCCTCGCCCTCCCACAAGACCCCAGGGACTGGCCCACAGTGGCCGAGGGCACAGGAGCCTGAGCTGGGCCCTTGGGCACCCCCCAGAAAACTGTAGAAAGTTCACTGCCTGATTAGCAGATGTTTTTATTAACAGCTGGCACCATCTTTATGTCCTGTAAACAGGCTATTTTGATGTCACTGCTGGGGGAGAAGGGCTGAGTCCAGCAATGGCTGGGGCAGGAGATGGCTCTGCCGGCTTTGCCAAGAACTGGCTGCCGCTGTGCCCCCCGCCCTCGCCCCCCACCCACCGGAGATGCTCCTAGGCCATCTCCACACAGAAGGGAGCAGGGAGCCACCTGTTCCTCAGGAGAAGCACCGCCGTTTCTCACGGCTGCCGCTCACCTGTGCGCTGGGTCAGTCCGCAGAGGTGTGTGGGGCAGAACAGAGACTGCCCGGCTGCTAACAGCTGACCAGCCTTAGTAATTCCAAAGGCAACGCTTCCAGACGATGGATCATGTTATGTGCCAGCTTAGCTGACCTATAGTGCCCCGATTTTGGTCAGCCATTACTCTGGATGCTTCTGTATAGTTACTTCTTTAGATGAGACTAACATTTAAATCAGTCAGCTCTGAGTAAATCAGTTGACCATCGAGACCGGGTGGGCCCCATCCAACCAGGTGAGGGACTGAGAGAAAAGACGGAGGTCCTCTGAGGGGAAGAACTCTGCCCCCAGACGGCCTCTGGACTCTCTAGAACTCCCACCGTGACTCCTCCCTGGGGTTCAGGCCACCCTGCAGATGCTACACTGGACAGGCCCCTCAACACGTGAGCAGATTCCACGCCGCCCCTGGCTCTGCTGCTCAGGCACCCTCACCCACCAGGTGCCGACGGGACCTGGCACCTCCAGCTTCCAGCACAGGCCAGTCTTCCTTGTGGGCGGCCGCGTTTCTGGAAGACACCGTCACCTCCACTTCTCGGTGGGCCCCGTGAAGCTCTGAGAAGCAGGGGCAAGCCTCCAGGCTGCACACACACCGTCCATTGCACTTCTCTAACCTCAAACCAACTCAGAGCACCCAGGGAGGGAGCACACACACTCCTGGGGGGGCCCCAACCCAGCTGTACAGCAACCCCTTCCCGCTGTCCCAGGAGCCTCACGACAGCGCCTACGGCACAGCACCTGAACCCAACCACAAGCGCGGAGCACACGGCGCACTCTGCCCTGGCGCCTGGAGGTGCGGGAGGGGCACTGCCCATCCGCCCATCAAGGGTCAGCCCTCTCAGACCACAGGCACTGGTGTGACACACACACCCCTCCCGCTCGCAGTCCCCTCCGTGGACGCCGCCTGATCAGGGGCCCGAGCTGCACCGTCAGCCCGAGGCGTGGTCAGCTCTAGCTATGTGGGTCGGGCGCATGCGCGCCCCGTAGTTGCGGCAGCCATGAAGAACGGCAGTCAACACGGGGATCCCAAGAGACTCAAGAAGTGAACAGGGACCCAGAGGCATTGGGGGTCAGACCCCCGTTTGGGAATTCACAGCATGGCCCCGAGGCCGCAGAGGCAGGTTCCCCGGAAGACGCCAAACCCCCGTCTGCAGTGTGGACATCTGACTTTACTGGGTTCCCTTTTCCTTTACATCCCTGAGCAACAGACGAATCACACATAAAAGATGAACGAGCTCAGGCCTGTCACCCAGCACTTCGGGCGCCTGAGGTGGATGGCCTGAGGTTAGGAGTTTGAGACTAGTCTGGCCAACATGGTGAAACCCTGCCTCTATTAAAAATACAAAAACAGGCCGGGCACGGTGGCTCACGCCTGTAATCCCAGCACTTTGGGAGGCCGAGGCGGGTGGATCACGAGGTCAAGAGATCGAGACCATCCTGGTCAACATGGTGAAACCCCGTCTCTACTAAAAATACAAAACATTAGCTGGGCATGGTGGCGTGTCCTGTAATCCCAGCTACTCGGGAGGCTGAGGCAGGAGAATCACTTTAACCTGGGAGGCAGAGGCTGCGGTGAGCCGGGACTGTGCCACTGTACTCCAGCCTGGGTAACAAGAAACAAACTCCACCTCAAAAAAAAAGGGACAAACAAGCAGCTGCTCAGTTTCCAGAAAGCACAGCTGCCCCCAAAGCAGGAAGCCGGTCTGAGGAAGAGGCTCGGAGCCCAACGAGTGGGCCGGGGAGGCTCCAGGCCTAGGGGAGGCACGGGGACACTGCTCAGCCCACCCATGTGGCCCGCAGGGCCTGTGCTGGCTCAGCCCTCTCTCAAGGAGACCCCCACATGCCCTGACATCAGTTTCCTGGCACCTGGCAGCAGGGTGGCCCCACAAACAGAGGCACACACGCACCCAGACACCAGTCCTCCGAAAGAGACAAGGTCACTGCTGTGGTGTCAGCCTCTGTCCCTTCAAAACGTGTGCCGAGACTCAACTGCCAGCGGAAGCATCTTCAGAAGGTGACTCGACGCGGAGGCTTTGCCCTCTCGAGGAACTTAATGCTGTCACCAAGGACAGGTTCACGATTCCAGGAGTGAGTTCATTACGAAAGGGTGACTACGCCTCCAGCCCCCACCACGTAGGCACACAGGAAGGCGGCCTCGCCAGCCTGCAGAACTGCGAGCTGGTCCCTTCTGTCCATAAAAAATGACTGTCTTGGGTGTTCTGCTACGGCTGTGCAACGTGACTCAGCCACCTAACGGAAGAGCCTCCCGTTCACCAGGACCGAGTGGACCCAGAGAATACACAGTGATGCAGGCCGGGCACAGTGGCTCACACCTGCCACCCCAAGGGAGGCCAAGGCAGGCGGATCACTTGAAGCTAGGAGGTTGAGACCAGTCTGGACAACACAGCAAGACCCCGTTCTCTATTTAAAAAATCATGTTTAAAGACATAATACTAGAAATTATAGCTTGACAGGAGGAATATGTTTAGTGTCCTGTGGCATGGAGATGACGGGTCAACAATACACACTTTCAAACAGCCCGAAGGACACCGAAGCTTCCCAGCACTCAGAAACGGGGGCCGTCTGCGATGGCGGATGTGCCAATCACCACGAGTTACACGCTTCGCCACATCACTACGCGCCCACACACAGGCAGAGTTATTCTAATTACAGAACAGCGGTGAGAGGCCGGGCGCGGTGGCTCACACCTGTCATCCCAGCACTTGGGGAGCCGGTGGATCACCTGAGGTCAGGAGTTCAAGACCAGCCTGGCCAACGTGGTTAAAACCCTGTCTCTACTAAAAATGCAGAATTAGCTGGGCGTGGTGGTAAATGCCTAGTCCCAGCTACTCAGGAGGCTGAGGCAGGAGAACTGCGTGAATCCAGGAGGCGGAGGTTGCAGTGAGCCAAGGTCATGCCACTGCATTCCAGCCTAGGTGACAAAAGCAAAACCCTATCTCAATTTTAAAAAAAGCAGCAGCAGCAGCAGCCTGTGACAGTGAAGTGCTCCACCCACCCAGCCCCGCCCCAGAGCCTCTGTCGCTAGGTACCCACCACAGGGGCCACGCAGACACCCGTAACACAGCAGCAGGGCTGTGCTAACAGACCCAGCCCCGAAGAGGGAGGTGGAGAAGGCCGACCAGTCCACAGGCCGCAGGGCCCTGGAGGCGCCGGAGCCGGCGACGGTGAGGGAGGGCAGTCCCTGGGCGAGGAGGACCAGAACTGACCCCTCTGCTCCTGGGCAGATGCTCCTAACGAGGCTCACACGTGCTGTCTCGGAAGGCACTGAGCTCTGCCACTGGTCATCTACAACAGCTCAACAAGACGTCCGTCCAGCAAGCTCTGCAAGCTCTGGTTTGCAGTGAGGACCACGCGGTGCCAGGAAGGACCCCCGGACAAGGAGCCCACGTGGGCGGCGTGAACACAGGTGTGGCACGGGGGTCACAGGTAGCGCACGGGCCTGCAGCGACCCTGCCCTGAGAAAGTGAGGAGGCACAGCGGTCTCCGCCCAGCGCCTGCTCCTTGCTGGCAGGACTCGCAGACAGGCGTGCCCGGTGTGTTCCGTGAGGGCTTTGAGCACAGGGAGCTCACACCACGCCTGACAACTCCAGGGACTTTCATTTTTATGCAAGCCCAGGAGGACTGCAAGAATTTCCTACCATGAAATGGAACCTGGAGTGAGGGAGGTGGGGAGGGTGGTCATTGGAATAAAACAAACATGAAATCAAGGAATCGGCAGCGATCAGAGCAAGAGGGGCTCCGCTCGCTCTGCAGCCCGCCCTGGGCTCAACACGGTCCCAGGCAAGGCGCCAGCAGGCTTGGCGAGGGATTCTGACGTTCACGTGGAAACGCCACGGGCCTGGACTGGGTGACGCGATTTTTAAGAAGAACCAAGTTGGAGGACTGACACCTCCCGTGTGGAGACTCGGTGAAGCCCGGGCCCCCACGTGTGCCCGGTCCGGGGGGCGGGAGGATCACTTGAGCCCAGGAGTTTGAGACCAGCATGAGCAATACAGTGAGACCCCATCTGTACAAAAGAAGAAAAATATTAGCTGGGCATGGCTGAACTACTCAGGAGGCTGACGTGGGAGAGCTGGAGGCCAGGAGTTCAAGACTGCAGTGAGCCATGATCACACCACTGCACTCCAGCCTGGAGTGCAGTGACCCTTTCTCAAAAACCAAAAAACACAAGCAGCAGAACCTGAAAAACACGCAAGACAGGCCACCTACCCTGTGACATCTCTGTATTACCTACCAAAGGAAAAGGATAACCTGATGTTCCCAAATCTGTTTATACATTTGTACAAAGTCTTACAGAAATAGGCAAATGACCCCTGCCTCATGGAACAGCACCACGGCCTGCTGCATCCACGCTACCCCCGTGGTTAGAACTCACCTGTCCGTAAAATGCAGTCCGAGACAGCGGGTGCCAGCTTTCCTTTCTCTTCCTCCATTTACCTATTTCACTGTGTCCTGGGCTGCAGTGCAGCGGCGTGATCACAGCTCATTGCAGCCTGGGTCTTCTGGGCTCAAGCCACGCT